ACCTTCTGAATTGTCGGAGTAATGAGGAAAGTTGTTTTGGAATATAAAACCTTTGAAGCATTCAAATATGAATTTGTGTGAAATAATTTTTAAAATTAGCTTTGTTTCATTTTTCAGACAACAGCATTTCAATGGCCACATACTTCTTATTAAAAGGACATATAAGGTATACGTACTGTTTGCTGTTAAGAAGAGACAAGAGATGGACATTTTTTTTTTTGTGTCCATTTTGTTGCTAATAAATTACCACATATATATATACATTTACATAGTTGTTTTTTTCTTTCATTTGTCACTCCATACAAGTCTCACTGAGGCAAATACCAATATTGGCACAGATTTTCTTAAATAAAAATACACATGCGATAATTGTTAAAAAGTTGACATAAGACAAAATAAGTTATAAGTTATAAGTAGTAATGATAAGTAATATCGGAGTTTTTTTCATTTTTCATTATTATTTTTTATACAAACATCATACAACATATATATGTTTCTTATCTCCCATATGTATTCTCAAAACAGGAAGTACATTTTAACTATTAGTTGCTCTTGTCTTGATAAACAAATAACACTTGACATCTGACAGCTAGTATCACGGTGCCAGTTTTCCGACTGGTAAAAAAAGTTGCCAGGTTAATTTTTAATGAAACTTGATAGTCAATTTTCTCATGCAAAAAGCCACCTTCCATTGACGTGAATAAGGTGCACAGTTTCTGTGACGTGAGATATCTAAAAATGTTAGTGTTGCTATGGCCAAAAAGTGACCAGTTGGCAGACTTCGTCGAGATCTACCTCATTCATTGCTTCTTACTTCTAGGTAAATCACACACGCTGATACACATAATAAACTCTACTACCACGTCTTAATTTTCACCAGGTACTTATGCAGGGAATAAAGTGCAACTCTTGAACTTCCGCGAAGGTTACGCAATTTACAAAATTTTCAACTGCGACGCCATCTCAGAGCATGCACTCCATTCTGAATATCTTCCTACGCCCAGCAAGTTGCCATATGACTGGTAAAAAAGTCAAAAACTCGAAAAGTCAAAAACTCGAAAAGTTGAAATTTGAAATATACAATAGGGGCCACCATAGTATTGTATTATTGCTTGTACTGGTACATGTATACTAGCTGCTCTTCATGTTTTTCAGACCTTCAAGGGAAATGTGGACAATAAGAATATCCAGGAGAACATGCTTTATCTTCTAATATGTGCTCGTTATGTGCGCATAAATCCAACACCGTGGAAGAAACACATTTCTATGACCTGCGTGGATGTTGATGATGAAAATTTTCAATTTTGGCCGTTTACACACAGGGTTTTTCTTCTTTTACATCAATAGTACAATAGTGAACATACAGTTGCCAGTTCAGTGATAATACAAACAATTAGCTCTAAGATGATCAGAAGAACAGAATGCTCTTCAGGATAGGGGAAAAGAAACATAAGAATAATAATGACTGATAATTCCATGTAAAAAAAAAAAAAAAAAAAAACTCCAAAGTTACTAAGTACAAGTTCCATTGTTGTGATATATTCAAACATTTCAGATGTACATATATTCAGATAAGTGCTTATAGTGCTCTGCTTCGGACTTTGATGATAATAATCAGATCGTCACAATTTTGTCCTTCATTAACAATGTGCATTTACAGTGAATGGATTACTTAATGTAAAACATTCTTTCAATTTAAGAAGTTTACATTTTTTTCTTCAAAACTTAAATTTGTATTATTAAATTGGTAAAGACACGGTAGAAGACCACTGGCGTAGACTCCGCAACACCTGGACATCAACATGTAATGAGGTTCTTGGAAAGAAAAGGCGAAAGCACAAGGAGTGGCTCTCTATAGCCACATGGAACCTCATCAACAACAGAAAAGAGCTAAAAGGAAAGATCAACTTGACACAGGGCCAAGAGGAGAAACAAGAGCTGCAGACACTTTACTGGGAGACCAACTGGCAGGTAAAAACAAGGCAAGGCAAGCGAGCCTTCATTCACGAACTCAAAGAGGAGGCAGAGACAGCAGCAAAGAAGGGAGACATGAAAAGAATCTATGAAATTACAAGAGCGTTATCGGGAAAAAACGAGGAACCCTACCCAACCAGTGAGAGACAAGAACGGTAAGACCATAACAGGAAGGCAGAGCAAAGAGCAAGATGGACAGAATATTTTAAGGAGACTTTGAACAGACCCCCACCAGCAAGTACCTCCTGACATACCACTGGCCACTCAGTTACTTGACGTTAGTACTAACCCACCAACAAAGCAAGACATCATGAAAGCCATCAAGTCCCTGAAGTCTGGCAAAGCAGCAGGACCAGACGGCATTCCAAAAGAAGCCCTGAAGGCAGATGTCCAGACATCAACGAACATGCACCCATTGCTAGTAAAGATCTGGGAGAAGGAAGCAGTACCAGAGGACTGGAAGAAGGGCTGCATTGTGAAACTACCCAAGAAAGGAGACCTCACCTTGTACAACAACTGGAGAGGGATTATGCTACTTTCTATACCTGGAAAAGTACTGTCAAAAATCATCTTGGAGAGATTTAAGACTGCCCTCGACAAGACCCTGAGATATGAACAAGCAGGCTTCCGCCAAGATAGATCCTGTACAGACCACATCCCCACAATGAGAATCATCATAGAGCAGTCATTGGAGTGGCAGACACCACTGTACAGCGTTTTTGTAGACTTCCAGAAGGTGTTTGATAGCGTGGACAGGGAGGTCATCTGGAAACTGATGCAGCACTATGGCTTTCCCCCAAAGTACTAGTACATCACCATCATTCAGCAGCTGTATGAAGATGCAACCTGCCAAGTCATACACGAGGGAAAGCTAACTGACCCCTTCCAGATACAGACCGGCGTATGTCAGGGATGCATGTTGTCACCAGTTATTTTTCTGATGGTGGTGGACTGGATTATGCGGCAATCCACTACAGGCCACAAGACCTGCATACAGTGGACATTCACCAAGGAGTTGGAAGATGTCGACTTTGCAGATGACATTAGCCTTCTCTCTCACAGACAACAACTTGTCCAGGAGAAACTAGAACGTGTCGCAGTAGAGACAGAGAAGACTGGCCTCAGGATCAACATCGGGAAGACCGAGGTCCTACGCATCAACAACCAACAGCAAGACCCTCCATTTCTACAGCAGGAGGAAATCAAGGAAGTAGACAAGTTCACCTACCTGGGCAGCGTAGTGAGTAAAGATGGTGGAACAGATGATGACATCAAGAGCCGCATCAACAAAGCAAAGACATGCCTTCAGACTTCTTCGTCCTATCTGGCGATCTTCAGCTATCTCACTCCAAAACAAGATCAGAATTTTTAAAACCAACATCTAGTCAGTCATGCTGTATGGCTCAGAGACATGGCGCACAACAAAGACCAACAGGAAAAGACTGCAAACTTTTGTCAACAGGTACTTGCATAACATCTTGAAAATAAGGTGGCTAGAAGTTATTTCAAACGAAGACCTCTGGGGTAGAACAAAATAAACACCAATAGAAACAGACATCAAAAAGAGGAAATGGGCAAACCAACATCAAACGTAACTCGCCAGTCACTAGACTGGAACCCCCAGGGAAAGCAGAAAGTTGGAAGACCTAGGCAGACTTGGCGAAGGAGCACGAACACTGAAATGAAGACAGCCGGAATGACATGGGCTGATCTGAAGAGGATCTCCCAAAATCATTTCCGTTGGAGGAGTGTTGTTGCTGCCCTTTGCTCCCCTGGGGAGATAGTGGCATAATGGAATGGATGGAAATTTAATTATAAAAAAATATTAATGGCTAATATCAAATTTTACAAGCAATAACCGAATTGCTATATACCCAAGCACTGATACATACAATGTTGATGATTCTGGTAACCTCGTTTCACTTCTTCAAATAGTTGTTCTACTACATCTTCCATGCTGACCCTCCATACATTTCATAAAACACATCTCCTAAAAACCAGAATAAAAGCAAGAAAAACAATTAAATTCCATTACACAGCAAGTTTGTATTATCCTCTACCAGGGTCACAGAGTGAATATTTTTTCTACAGACAATCAAAGGAAAGAAATATTCTCCTCTTCATAGTGCCAAGGATACTGTATCGTGGCACATTATCCGGGAGTAACATTAAAAGTATTCACCTTATATTGTTAATGTTTTTAACAGTGTTATTCAAAAATGTTATATTGAAAAATAATGATATATCAAAATAAATGTGGACAGACATTAATGAGAAAACTGACAGATATTGAAACAGTCAAAAACCGATGGAAAACCATATTAATGATGAAAGAACAAAGTACTCTTTGGTCAATTTGAAGCAAAAGTACAACTAAAAATGCCACTTTGTGAAAAAACAAAAATTGCGAAAATAAAATAATAATAACAACAATAATAATAATAATTATTATTATAAAGAAGAAAGCCTCACCAACTAAAGAAAGGAGTTGCAGTATCGCAGTATTACAGAGTAAGAGGACAAGAAAAGAACATAATACAGAAGGGTACAATAAGGAATTGGTAACTTCCAAAGGCAGAGGAATCTAAATAAATACCCTCTTTTCCAAAGTTTAATACTGTAATTCATTGCCATCTCTTTCAATAACGCCATTTTGTCTCAAGTATAATATTTTCATTTTATAAAGAGCTTTTCAGTCACAAATACCAGATGTACTATGATTATGAAAATTTTGTCTTTTTGCCTTTAGAGTATTTGTTACAGTGCAGTTTCAAACTGGATTGGAGAGCTTTGTGATTCTTCATCATTAATTCACAGAAATGTAGTTGAAATATAATCAAGCCCATTTTCATTTCAATTTGCCACAGCACATTGATTCATTTTTTATTACAAGAAAATTAACAGATAGCCAATCGCTGCCACAGTTATCAGCATCACAACTGCATTGATTCATTTTTTATTTATCACAAGGAAATAAACAGTCGCTGCCTCAGTTATCAGCATCACAACTTCCGTCTTCGTTCACTGCCGACTTGTAAATAAATAGAGCTGTACACCACCTCATACAAATCAGTCAGACAGGTCCCTGATTAACGCCAAGATGGGTATGAGACAAGCTAAGGTGCTGATCTTGCTGGTACTCTATGTTGCTGTTCAGTCAAGAAAATTAAAAGATGAAGTGAAAGTCCTAACCAACCGCCTGAATTCCTTGGCCCCTCCAGAAAACTGTATGGACCTACTGGTATCTGGGAAGCACCCGATTTCTGATAACATGATTACAGCTTCTTCTTATTGGAACAAGGATGCAGCACACAGCCCAGTCATATCAAGAATAAATAATAATTACAGACATGTTGGAGCCTGGTGTGCTACCAAAAATGACCAACATCAGTGGCTACAGTTTGACCTTGGGACAGTGAGGAAAGTGACAGCAATACTGACCAAGGGCAGGGAATTTGATCACAACCAATATGTCAGAGAATATCAGGTGCACTATGGTAATAGTAGCCAACTGCAGATGAAAGCATACGGGGATGCAAATGGACGTATTAAGGTATAGCCCTACTGTCAATCACCCATACAGAAACTTAGCTAAATATGTATGAGATTACTTAATTAACTACCTAAACTATGTCACACTTTCTCAGAGCCTATTTGCAATAAATAGATGACATGCATGTACCTCATGTACGTCATGTTGCAATTCTTATTTTGACAAAACTAATACTTCTTATACTCAGTGTTGTATTATTGCTAGTATACTGCTTTTCATGTTTTTTCAGACCTTCAAGGGAAATGTGGACACTAGGAATATCCAGGAGAATGTGCTATATCCTCCAATATATGCTCGTTATGTGCGCATTAATCCAACCTCCTGGTATGGTCACATTTCTATGAGAGCAGATCTGCGTGGATGTTGAATGAAGAAATTTTTCAATTTTGGCCGTTTGCACACTTCTTTTTTTTTTCTTTTACATCAATAGTACAAAAGTGAAAAAACAGTTGACAGTCCAGCGATAACACAAACAATTAGCTCTAAGATGAATGGATGAACAGAATGCTCTTCAGGGTATTGGAAAAGAAACGTAATTATAAGAATAATAATGACTGACAATTCCAGTTAAAGAAAAAATCCAAAGCCTGCAAGTATGAAGATACCTAAGTTACTAAGTACAAGTTCCATTGTTGTGATTATTCAGACATTTGAAATGTACACATATTCATATATGAGCTTATAGTGCACTTCTTCTGACTTTGATGATAATTATCAGATCATCACAATTTTGTTCTTTTATAAACAATGTGCATTTACAGTGGTGGGATTATTAGGAAAATATTGTTTAAATTTTCTTTAAGTTTTTCTTTAAAATTTCATTTGGGATTAACTTTTAACTGGGATTAACTTTTAACAATATATTAATGTCTGTAATCTTATTTGCTTTTGAAATATGCTGCAGTGAAAATCACCAAGAGTTCAATAAAGGGATGTAAAAAAAAAAGTAAAGCTTTAATGCATTATGATATTTACAATCACACTTGATAGTGGATCTTGATAGTGGATTAAATAGTTAACGATCCTTAGTACCACCATTCTATGGTACCACAAAAGTTTTCACACTAGTCTACCATAATGCAAAAAAAAGAAAGAAAAAAAAAAAGAAAACTCGCAGAATACTGGATATCACATAGTGTTCAATGTATATGGTTTGAGTTCAAAAACCTCTCTAAGTCATATTTTCTGTGTCTACATATCCTGCTAAGCCACTAATCTTTCCCAATTTAGATATATAAAACTTAATCATTGTATCAAAATGGAATAAAACAAACATGATTCGTGTGTAGGATAAAATTGCTCCCTCCCCCCCCCCTCCCCCAACTCGGAGGAAAGTTCAATTTGGCTGTAAATAATATACCCCATTTCCATAGATTTTAGATCGATCTATCCTTGTAGGGAGTCTCACTAGATTACTGTCAGCTTTGCCGGCTTAAGCGTCTGTCCCGCCTACTGAAATCTCTAAGGGGGTAATTAACTATGGTGCGCGCTCGACTGACTGCAATTTAGCGTGAGCCCCCAGGGAGTTAGGTCGATCTAAATTTTAATCTCTGGATCGTTCTAAATCTCTGGGAATACACCCATAGAGTACTAAATGTGTCTGGGTGTAGATGCTGATTTTAATTTTTATTAAATTCTTTTTAATATATATACTTCATTAACCCATTTTGAATGTTATTTATTTATTGTTTGCATTATATTTCACTTGTGTGATATATTATGGTTTTTAGATCCACTTACCAACCATGATGACAGCCGAGTCTGTACCGTACAGATCCTAATTAATNTATATGACTTCCTATTCAAGTTCAATGGTAACTATGGGCGTATCTCTGCTAATTTTGGAGTATTTCACATTTTCCCCACTGAATATTGCGATGTTGTAATTTTTGATATAGGGCAACGCCTAAACCATATCAAAAACAAAAAAATGGACACCACCCCCAGTATTGCACTTGACAAGGTTTACAAAATGCAATAAAAAAGAGGTCTCTGGCATTTACCATTCCAGATTTAGAGCGAGTTTTCAGTTTCGGTATCTAATGGCTGCTTCTCCCGTGAAAATGCACCGATTGACCCCAAACTCCCAAAGATGAAAGGAGTCCCCAATGGTAACCCCTCACTATAACAGGAGAGCTTAGGGCTGTGTAGTTTCCAAAAATTAGCACAAACAAATATTTTTTTACAGAAAATTCCCATTTTTAGGAAATTTTGGCTTGTTTGACCTTGAAAAAAAGGTCAAAAGTCAAATCCAAGGGCACATTTGGAATCACCACATATGACTTTCGGTCAGACTTCTGTAGTAATTTTTCCCATAATTCCTTTGGTTTGGGAGATATTAAGCATTGAATTTTCAAAAATTTTGACAAGGGTGCATTTCAACAAGCGTCATGCCCAGGCCAGTGCACCGATGGAGACAAAAAACCAGGGTGTTCAAGTTGAGATTATATGTGACCTAAATCCAAGAGATGGGGACACAGGTCCTTGCGGTCTAGGAGGAGAAGCAGTAACGGTGGCTTGTTTCCGGCACCCGACTGCGGGGCCGTAGGAGACGGCGGAGCTGTACGAGACGGGTCGGGACTAAAACCATGAGTACTGCCAGCGTACACCCTGGTGGTACTAACTAGCCATGCAGTCATTAAAAACTTAATCACTGAATCAAAATGGATTAAAGCTAATATGATTTGTGTGTTGGACAAAATTGCTCCCTCTGCCTCAAAGGAAAGTTCAATTTAGCTGTAAATCATAGAGTTCTGTGTCTGGAAGTTCTATGGTGTATAGATGGTGATTTTAATTTTCATTAAATTAATTCTTTCAAATATAGTTAATTAACCGATTTTGAACATTATTTATTGTTTGCATTATATTTCACTTCTGTGATATATTATGGTTTTTAGATATGAAATTAGAATATGAAAACTCAGCCTTGAAATTTTGTAATTACTAGACATCAAGGATGGCACATGTAAAAGCATTAAACAAACAAAATAATAAATAAATTAAAGAAACAGGATTTGCTGACACCTAGGCAAGATGGGAGATTCCTCCACGGCCACAGGAAATAAAATCAAATATAATCAAGCACATTTTTATTCTAATTTGACACAGCGCATTAATTCATTTTTCGTTTATTTCAAGAACAGATAGCCATCAGTGTCTCAGTTATCAACATCACGACTTCTGTCTTTGTTCACTGCCAATTTGTAAATAAATAGTTCTGTACATCACCTCATACGAATCACTCAGAGAGGTCCCTAATTAATGCCAAGATGGGTATGAGACAAGCTAAGGTGCTGATCTTGCTGGTACTCTATGTTGCAGTTCAGTCAAGAAAATTAAAAGATGAAGTGAAAGTCCTAACCAACCGCCTGAATTCCTTGGTCCCTCCAGAAAACTGTATGGACCTACTGGTATCTGGGAAGCACCCGATTTCTGATAACATGATTACAGCTTCTACTTATTGGAGGAAGAATGGACAATACAGCCCAGCCATGTCAAGAATAAATAATAATTACAGAAAGGTTGGAGCCTGGTGTGCTGACAAAAATGACCAACATCAGTGGCTACAGTTTGACCTTGGGACAGTGAGGAAAGTGACAGCAATACTGACCAAGGGCAGGGAATTTGATCACAACCAATATGTCAGAGAATATCAGGTGCACTATGGTAACAGTAGCCAACTGCAGCTGAAAGCATACGGGGATGCAAATGGACGTATTAAGGTATAGCACTACTGTCAAATACCCATACAGAAACTTAGCTAAATATGTATGAGATTACTTAATTAACTACCTAAACTATGTCACACTTTCTCAGAGCCTATTTGCAATAAATAGATGACATGCATGTACCTATGACGTCATGTTGCAATTCTTACGGTTTTGACAAAACTAATACTTCTTATACTCAGTGTTGTATTATTGCTAGTATACTGCTTTTCATGTTTTTTCAGACCTTCAAGGGAAATGTGGACACTAGGAATATCCAGGAGAACGTGCTATATCCTCCAATATATGCTCGTTATGTGCGCATTAATCCAACCTCCTGGTATGGTCACATTTCTATGAGAGCAGATCTGCGTGGATGTTGAATGATGAATTTTTTCAATTTTGACCATGCACACTTCTTTTTTTTTCTTTTACATCAATAGTACAAAAGTGAAAAAACAGTTGACAGTCCAGTGATAATACAAACAATTAGTTCTAAGATGAATGGATGAACAGAATGCTCTTCAGGGTATTGGAAAAGAAACATAATTATAAGAATAATAATGGCTGACAATTCCAGTTAAAGAAAAAATCCAGAGCCTGCAAGTATGAAGATACCTAAGTTACTAAGTACAAGTTCCATTGTTGTGATTATTCAGACATTTCAGATGTACATATATTCAGATATGTGCTTATAGTGCACTTCTTCTGACTTTGATGATAATTATCAGATCATCACAATTTTGTTCTTTTATAAACAATGTGCATTTACAGTGGTGGGATTATTAGGAAAATATTGTTTAAATTTTCTTTAAGTTTTTCTTTAAAATTTCATTTGGGATTAACTTTTAACTGGGATTAACTTTTAACAATATATTAATGTCTGTAATCTTATTTGCTTTTGAAATATGCTGCAGTGAAAATCACCAAGAGTTCAATAAAGGGATGTAAAAAAAAAGTAAAGCTTTAATGCATTATGATATTTACAATCACACTTGATAGTGGATCTTGATAGTGGATTAAATAGTTAACGATCCTTAGTACCACCATTCTATGGTACCACAAAAGTTTTCACACCAGTCTACCATAATGCAAAAAAAAGAAAGAAAAAAAAAAGAAAACTCGCAGAATACTGGATATCACATAGTGTTCAATGTATATGGTTTGAGTTCAAAAACCTCTCTAAGTCATATTTTCTGTGTCTACATATCCTGCTAAGCCACTAATCTTTCCCAATTTAGATATATAAAACTTAATCATTGTATCAAAATGGAATAAAACAAACATGATTCGTGTGTAGGATAAAATTGCTCCCTCCCCCCCTCCCCCAACTCGGAGGAAAGTTCAATTTGGCTGTAAATAATATACCCCATTTCCATAGATTTTAGATCGATCTATCCTTGTGGGGAGTCTCACTAGATTACTGTCAGCTTTGCCGGCTTAAGCGTCTGTCTGTCCTGTCATGTTATTTATTTTGTTTGCATTATATTTCACTTGTGTGATATATTATGGTTTTTAGATCCATTTACCAACCATGATGACAGCCGAGTCTGTACCGTACAGATCCTAATTAATGCACTGAGATATCTTGCACTAGCTATACAGGCAGTACAGCGTACATGTAGCTAACNGTTCTAAATCTCTGGGAATACACCCATAGAGTACTATATGTGTCTGGGTGTAGATGCTGATTTTAATTTTTATTAAATTCTTTTTAATATATATCCTTCATTAACCCATTTTGAATGTTATTTATTTATTGTTTGCATTGTATTTCACTTGTGTTATATATTATGGTTTTAGATCCACTTACCAACCATGATGACAGCCGAGTCTGTACCGTACAGATCCTAATTAATGCACTGAGATATTTTGCACTAGCTATACAGGCAGTACAGCGTACATGTAGCTAACATAAAGTCATATATAGAGGTGTTTACTTAATTGATAATTCTCCCGATGCTCTTGTAAACTTAAGTTAAAGTTAAAAAGTCTAAATGGAAACCTTAAGACAGTTAATATAAACATGATGCGAACCAATGGTAAAACCTAAAACTAACATACGAACAGCTTACTTTAATCAAACTCATACTTACACATCTCAAACAACACAAACTTCCGCGCCACCACAAACTATCAATAGCCCAAAGTAAATATAGAAAGCAACTAAGACTTCAAAAAGCAAAGTAAAAGCATCATAAATGTACAATGCCTACATATATTTCACATACTAAATTTCAAGGATAACTTTTTGACACAGTATTTTATCAGCATACACTTCTTCTTAACTCAGAAATTTTATCATATAGACATAATACCTAATTGGGTTTTGAATACTTCGAGTTTTGCCACGGTCTATTTCTAAAAGTAGCTCAGACTCCAAAACTTATAACTGTGCAAGCAGGATTCTACGGTGACTTCTTAATTTCAAGATCATGTCAGCAGAAATTGAGAGTATAGAAAGTCTTCTTGAGAAAAACATTAAAGGGGAAGAACTTTCCGAAGTTAGAAGGATACTTTATGGGAAAGAACTCAAGTAAGAGAAACTACAGCTATTAAAGTTGTTTGTCCATGCACACAGGTTACCAATGTAATGAAAGAAAGGCTACTGGTATAGTGTCCTTATGTTAGTGAAATATTTTATATATTATTTTTATTTATTTATTTATTTTTTTTTTGTGCATATTATTATTATTGATTGAATAAACCTACTTTTTGTTTTTGTAAAATTATTTATTAATTGTATTATTATTTGTTTGTGTTTGTTGTTAATTATTAGCTGAAGGCAAGTTGAGGAATATTTTCATGTTCATGGTAGCTCACTGATCAGAATGTTAAACTTTCAAGGGACATACATGTACTAGTGTATGTGTACTTTTCTTTAATTGATGTGTATGTACTTCTTCAATGCCCAGACATAGGAAAACCTTTGAAAATTCTGAAGGTCCGGAGGAACTGCACGTACTGCTAGTACATAAAATCTGCTTGTCTGAACAAAGTATTTTATTTCTGTTAGTCTGTGTTTACGTGAGATTCATTTTTATTTTAGTATTTTCACATAAACCTTGCCAGTCCAAATTATGTGCAATATCAAATTTATTGCAGGTCCTCTAACATGGCACACAGTCATGTTCTGTAAGGCCAGCAGTTTCCCCATACCTGCATCATGCCCCATTTAGAAAAGCATGGCTTTTATATTCTAAGTAAATACGGTTTTCTCTTTGCCAAAATGTAGGTCAGTGCACATTCCTGATAAAGTCACCCAGCTGGCTATATCCAAGGACTTTGAAGTGAAGGCATACGCGTTTGAGGCTACCCCTGAGCAACTGAGGCCGCCAGGAACAGTGAGGGTTGGATTAATCCAGAACAAGATAGTGCTTCCCACTGATGCACCTATTAAGGCCCAAGTATATACAAAATATACAGAGACAGAAAATACAGTGCCCTTTTACTAGTACATTAAAAAAAATATTTCCATTCCATGGTTATTTTTATCAATACTCAGCGTGCGCATATCTGATGAAGACAACTCAATGAAATCAAGTGACAAATTTTTAAAATTGTATTCCTTGGTAAATATCTGTGTATAATAAGTCATATTTTATAACTTTTCTATTGGATAATATAGCAGGTTTCAAAGTTTTTTACTTGCAAACTCATCAGTTTGTAAACCTGTTCTTTAATGTTGTCACATATAATAAGAAAAAAATTTTTAAAAATTATTTTTCAGATTGAAGCTCTTCACCAGAGAATTGGTGACATAATTCAGGCAGCAGCAGAATGTGGGGTGAATATTGTGTGTATGCAGGAGGCCTGGAGTAAGTTTTCTTTTTGATTTCTGCCACCTTTAATATTTTAGTACATGTAGATGGTCATGTTGTGCAGTCATTTTTTTTTTTTTTTATCATTGAGGTTTGAATTTTGCTGTTTAACTAAAATAGGGATGGAACAAAACATTTCTTATAATTCCCCCTTCATTATTGCAGCCATGCCTTTTGCCTTTTGTACTAGAGAAAAACACCCATGGACAGAATTTGCAGAGTCAGCAGAGACGGGACCAACCACTAAACTTATGCAAGAGGTTTGTGTTCATACCCTGTGACTGAATTTAGTATAATGTAATGTAAACAGAATACAGCACTGCACAGTACAGTGCATTTTTTAATAACGATAAACAATTTGACAGTGTAAAGAGCATTTTATTTGCACTGACAATGTGAATGTTTGTCTTTGACAGCTGGCTCAGAGGTATAACATGGTGATTATTTCCCCCATACTAGAGAGAGATGATGCCCACGGTGAAATACTGGCAAACACTGCAGGTAAAAACAAAGCTAGTGATATATGCATATATGAATGAATATATGCACTGACAAATATTTTGTTTTCTATCTGATACTGCACTAGATTGGATCTAGATTTGAAATTAAGTTAAACAAAAAATAATACCTATAAAACTTGATAGGTTAAATAAAAATAGTAGGGGAAAGTGGATTTGTTTGATTTGCTAGGCAAATCAGCACAAGTACATTGTACATGCATCTGGTAGTTCATGGGTTTAAAAATTACAGATAGAGAAAAGTTATTTTGTCTTTAGGAGGGAAGAAAAAGTAACAACAAATGAATGGCAAATAATAATGAAACTCTTACCCAGTGTCTGCTAATTATTTCTTAACAATAAAGCAAGTTGCTTTTAGATTATAAAATACAGCAATTTGCTTCATATTTCAGTTGTAATTTCAAACACGGGAGCAGTGCTTGGAAAGTCCAGGAAGAATCACATTCCTAGAACTGGGGATTTTAATGAAGTATGTGTTTTTAGTGGAGGTTAACATACTCTTGTATATATGTAGACTGACAGACTGTTACCTTTAAGTTCATTCAGTTTTACAACTTATGTCTTCTTAGGAGGCTGTTTAATCATTACAGTATATGAAAAAAGGGAGAATATAACGTTCTGTTAAAGGTTTTGTCCTATTATCCTTCTGCTTCAGTTTATATGAGCTCAGTGCATATCAAGGAGATAGTTTCTTAGTAGGGCTCTTCTTTAACACACATCCCTGTACTCTGCTACTAGTCTACAGTCAGTTAAGATATACAGCAAAATTAGGCTATTACAAAGTTAACAGTAACAGTACAGTATGTGTCATAATCAGTTATTTAGAAAATTTTGTTTTTGTATCTTTTTCAGTCTACCTATTACTTGGAGGGTAACACTGGCCACCCTGTGTTCCAGACTCAGTTTGGTAGTGAATGTTTTATGTGTAGACTTTGAGGGCTCATTCCCAATAAAACTATTGGTCTACATAGATCCATCCAACTGTGCTGGGACTCTCGCTGAATGCAATCAGATCCACAGATTAACATGCCTCCTCTTGTTTTCAGTGTACTCATATAATGCCAGCTTTTCTGTATTTTACTCAACACCAGGAGAAGTTATATTAATCTGAAGGCATTCAGCGAGAGACCCCGCGGAGTTGGATTGATCAATGTTGAATGATAGTTTCATTGAAAATGAGCCCTTAGTTTAGACTAAGAAGTGTTTTAGAAAATCTCAAGGTAAAAATATTGGGTTCTTATTTACAGTAGGCATGAATACAGCTACCAGATGGCTTATTTTGGTGCTCTGCATGAGAAATCTTTATTCAGACATGAGCTTTTTCCGCATAATTCTGCTTTTTTACATGACCCCAGAGCAATTAAACCCCCAAAAATTTACAAAAGGTGTTTGGTTCCACAATAATGGTTCAGAGTTATTTTCTGAAACCTGGGCTCATGTCTGTTTATTAGTCAGTGTTTGGCAGTGTCAAGATGCACCCATCAGCTTCATTGTGCACTTTTTAAAGTGAGACATAACTTGTGAAACATGCTAAAATGCCTTTGTTGATGTCCCTTTTACCTAAAGGCTGTCCAAATAAAATCACAATTGTCACATTTCAGGCAAGATTGCTATTAACATTTGCTATGGACGCCATCACCCTCAGAACTGGATGATGTATGGCATCAATGGCGCAGAAATTGTGTTCAATCCATCAGCCACTGTTGGATCTCTTAGGTGAAGTCAGTCAAACATTGCAAAGTCTCTGTCACCTGTACAGTAGCTGCATTCTTCATAACCAGTTGTAGCTGTATGTAAAAACTTAGTAATGGCTTTTAACTGAGAAATGACCATGTGATGACATTTTGAAAATGACCGTGTGATGAAATAATGAAGCTGATTTTCTATACAAGCCAGACTGGATATGTAATCTTACAGTCCTTATGTTGCAGTGAGCCTATGTGGCCCATTGAGGCCCGGAATGCAGCAATTGCCAACAGTTACTTCACCTGTGCCATAAACAGAGTGGGAACAGTGAGTACTCTGTCCAACTGTAGCATTTAAGATTAAGAGACCATTCCCAGAGACTGTCATACTAACTTTGGATCGATCTATCTCTAAGGGGGTTCTCACTAAATTGCCATCACCTTCAGCAGCTTAGATCACTCGCACACCCACTGAAGCTGTTAGTGGGTAATTAACTATCATTTTGCGGCTTCAGTAGGCGTGGCAGACATATAAGCCATAAAGCTAAAAGCAATTTAGCGAGAAACCCCTTCGAGATGGGTTGATCCAGTTAGATTGAACTAGGCATGGTAACCCAGTCTAACTGCTGTAGTGAGGGAACCTTGTAGGGTTCCACATAAAAAAATATGGCGTGCTGGCCCAGGGTCATTGAAAGTCGATCTCGGGGGGCCAGTGAATCATGAGGGTTACTGGTCTGAAGGGCAATTAAAATGTAATGTGCCAAGTAACACTGGTAATGTTTACTGGACCTCACTGGTAGGGCTATGGTAGCTCACTGGTAGATGAAGGGCCAGTGGAGAAATTTAGTGTCAAGCCCTACCTTGAAAATGTCTTGAAAAAGCCAGATATTGATTACATACAGAAAAACATATAAAGATGAGTATTTTCTTTATGAACATTTTAGAAGAACATTGAAACTGGTTGAAGTTACTTTTCTCCTTGTTTATTCAACTATATCTTTTTTAATGTTTTATTAACATGTACTAACTATATAATATAATATCTTTTTGACTACATACCGGTCTGTTGTTTCATTTATATTCTTGTTAATGGATATTTGTTACTTGTTCTGCAGGAATATTTTGCCAATGAATTCAGCTCTGGAGATGGAAAGCCAGCTCACAAGGACTTTGGTCACTTTTATGGTATGTAACTAAGCTAAAATACATACCTCTGTTATAATGTGAAAAGGTTTCCCAGAATTGTTCACCGAATATGCAATTTCTAATGATAATTCCATTATTAGTTTGTTCCTGGATGAACATTTGAATCTTTTGTTTCTTTCTTCCAAGGTTCAAGCTATGTGGCAGCTCCAGATGGCAGCAGGACCCCGGTAGGAAACTCTTAGGCTTTGTGATCACAGTTTAAGTGTCAATCTGTAGGCACATTGTTTTAATTTTAGCATATCCATGAGAATGATACATGTATTAACTTCATATGACTGAGGGTTTTTAGAGCATTTTGACCTGTGTTGTGGTCATCCTCCATAATGTATGATTATATGATTGTTGGGTTTCTATCGCTGCATACCGCAGCTGTAACTAAATTAAATGTAAAAATTTCAATTGCACAGCTTAAAGTAAATTTGCATTGCATTGTATTATATTGTTTTGTAGGGGTTATCCAGAACCAGAGATGGTTTACTTGTGGTAGAAATGGACTTGAACTTGTGTCGTCAGGTTAAAGACAAGTGGAACTTTAGGGTAAGTAGAGAATCTTTGAAACAGACTTCATGTTTAAAGGGATAATACCTCTTCGTATGAGATCTATATTTCACAATAAAAACATTGTGAACAACACATAGAAATGTAATATATTCTGTTTTACCACAAAAACAGTTATAGCTATTATTCTGATATCTGAGCTTGTCTTCAGACCACGTGACTTACACTGATGTCTATACTCTGTTATAATCTCTTAAGCGATTATAACAAAAAACAGACTTTTTAGAAAAAAACCAGGGACTAACTTTGAATGTAAAAATGGATTCATTAACCTTTGGGTAAGTATGGAAAATTGTTGTTAACTCCATCAAAATTCATTTTTTTGGCCAAAACAAAGAGTTATTATCCCTTAAAAGTGGATTTTATCATCATTTGCCTTCCTACGAGTACTCTCCAACTGAACTTGGTTCTATGACTTGTCAGTTTTTTAATTTATTTTTTATTTATTTATTTATTTTTTCAAATGTTCAATTAATATTGCTGCTCTCTCTGTCTTTGTCTTCAAAAAAGTTTTTGTGAGCAAAGAATTAAGATGATGTAATTTATTTAGATACTTACAGGATTTTTTTATCTTTAGGGATTATCTGTTATTTAGTTTTAGCTTTTACAGTTTTTTTTTTTTACCTTACAGCTTTTACCTGAGTAAAGGTTGGCAGTAACCTTGTCTAAGAAAAAGTAAGGCTAAATTAAAACCACAGTCCATCATAGTAATCATAATAGAGGCCACATTATGTACAGGTACATGTACATGACCAGTATTTGTGTGCATATGCTAGTGATGTGCAATGCACATGTCTAATATTTCTCTTCAGATGACCCAGAGACTAGAGCTGTACGCTGAGTCTTTGACCAAAGCAGTCCGCCCAGACTATCAGCCACAGGTTATTAAGGAGTGATCACACTTGAGATAGAACATCACTTCCTCACCAGTCACAGAAAACACAAGTGGTAGTGGTTCTTGTAGGAAGGTTGACATTTTGATTTTTTATGATCACTATCTAAGTTTTTTTCTGTCCTGATTGCATTTTTATGAGATGAAACAATACAGACTTTCAAAAAGGTGTCATTTATTGGAAATCATTGGAGAGATACAGTAGAATATATATATATAATTTCAGTAAATTCAGATTGAATTTCAATCAAGATGCATTACACATATAAATACCTTATTATTCACAGATTAATATATATTGATTAAACACAAGCCCAGTTAATTTACATATATAACACCAGGAGACATTTAATATACAGTTATTGATAATAAAACTTATCCAAGCAGTTATCCATACACATAAGTTATAGCATATTTTAATTAGATACATGTACTTAGTAATATATCTACTGAGTATGCATAATTAAAGATTCCATAATTTTGTATTTTAATCAACTGGTCACTTGTAGACAAAATAATCTGCTTAAATTGTCACAAGTTATATATACATGTACATTAAAATCTTTGAAAAGTCCCATATTTACTAGTAGTTTGTCAGTAAGTGTACCAGTTAATTACTATAGACTACCATAGTGGCTAACACCACAGACTAATATATTTATGATAATTTTTTACAGCAATAAACTGACCTACTTTCATTCCTATGGTGCTAGAAATTTGATGTTAATTTTTTTCTTAATTGGCGTTCATAATTCACTTTGATGTTTACAGGTGTCTGTGCTTTTCTAGATTTAGTTATAAAATAGAGGGGCCATATTGTAAAATTCTCTGAACAAAGCTTTAATCAGGAGAAAGCATTGTTTTGTGAAACCTACATAGTAAAAGTTGATTCATTTCTGGAGGAGGACTAAGTTCCCATTTAATTTACCATACAGACATACTTTAGGTGAACTGTCTAAACGTAAGGTTTAATAGAACCATGATTAGGACATTATGATTCCTGAATGTATGTAATTGTAGTACATACAGGTAATTAACACACATAGAGGGCTACGTATTATTTGAGTTGATGCAAGTAATATCAAACAGTATGTGTAATGGTTTGTTATATAAATTTTAGCTTAAGAAAGAGCAGCTCAATTGAAAATATAGATATAGTGCACTTTTTTGCACAAAATGTTATCTGAATGAAGCAATTTAATAAATAATATATATTAAATAATAACAAAGTTGAAATATGTATTTGCTTTTGTTTTACTTTGATGGAATCCAATACAGTAACATTTTTTATTAATTCTAACCTTGTAGAAAAACTTAATTATAATTAAAATTATTTTGCACATGACTTATAATTTAAGTTATTTTGCACATGCATTAGATGAGGATAACCATGACTGATTAGGATAATGTTGTCTTTAAGTGTCATTTTTTTAATTCATTTTTTTTTTTAATATTCTATATTTATTGTATTTTTTTCTCATGGCAAAGAATCTTAACTATGAAATATTATAAGCATTTGTATTCAGTGTTTTGGGCATATGGAAAAATCAATTTTATTTGTTAAATTAAAGAAAAGTGGCATCAAAATATGTTCATAATTTACTATGTATTATTCTTTAAGGTTAATTACAAAGAAATTAATCTTTTTTCAAAATCTCAACATACACCAGATTGAAATACTCTTTTAACAAGCTATAATGTACTGGGTAGCAAGATTATATTTACTGGTATGGAAAATAAACATTACATAATTTTCTTTATTTGAAAAAAATAAGTAAAACTTGGATAAACCTTCAGTGGGTAAAAATATTTATATAAGCAACAGATTTATCAAGGCATTTGGAGTTATTTGAAATAAGTTTAAACTGTTCCTGTGCTGAGGGATTGTTTTGATTGAGGACAAACCTCGACTTTGGAGCGTCTTGTTACAGGAAGTTTATGGGACGACGGGTAGTATTGAAATTGGCCAATCAGAAACTAGGCCAGGTCACAAATTTTGATTTGAAACCCTACATGGAAACTTGAAGGATCGCTGTGATTTTAAATGACCAACATTAATAGATAGACAAAATAATGTCCGCGAGAAGGTAAGAATAAGTGCAAAATAGTCGCATATACAGTTTTTCGGGTCAAGATTTAATCTTAGACAGATATAGCGGTGATGATAACGTTTACCCGGCGGTGACCAACTTTATGTGGCCTGCAGCACATGCAATGTTAAATAGAATTATATGTACTTATAATATCCAATACAGTAATATACTTCTTACGTAAGAAGTATTGGTTGTTTTACATGGAATTTCGGTTAGTTAATGACTTTGTTGGGGGGTTTGTACAAATAATTCATGCTTGCTTGAGTTAATGTGTTAAAATCGATGTTAGAAAGGTGGCACAGCTGTATGATTTTTGGGGATGATGAAGGTAGCACATACAGAAAAAAAAGACTTCCAATGGAATCATATCACTACTAGAACGAAGTTCAATGTCAGATCTCCAGAACTTCCAAATTAGTTGAGACTAAGCTTGGATTGTAATAGCCAAATTATCATTTCTGGTAAAGCTACTGTACTACTTCAAAGCAGTTTTGAACTTGGCAGTGTGATAAGTTTGGTAACTGACAGAATTTTTAAATTTAATAATGTAAAAGTCTGCTCAATAACAATTTAAAATCTAGTTTTATTAGCTGTTCCTGTAATTTACAAAAATGTTTACAAGTTTCATAAGTTACTGTGTTTATCATTTCACTGTCAATATGCGTGAATCTAATCCCTTTTGTATCTGAAACTTGTCAGGCAAACCTCACTGTCATTATATCAATAATTGAACCAGGTTGCCCTGTGTCATTAACTTCATTAGCAATTAAGTTATATTGATAAGTATGCTAAATAGTGTAGAAACTGAAAACTTAATAAAACAGCTAGGCGTTCAGATCAGCATTTACAAAAAGTTTGCTGGACTAACTTTGAATAAGGAATGGCAGTTCTTAAAATTGTTGCTACTCCCTTGGACCTACTAAGCAACATTTTCAGTAAGTCCTGAATTTTTCATCAGTCCTTACTGGTCATTAGAGTGTGGTTTCGGCCTGACAATTTTAGGTTTGATTGCAATCTGGTGATATTTGAAAAACATACTTTAAATTAATAAGACTACATTCACACTGTTCACTGTTCCATTGTTATGTTCCAGTCATGAGGAGATGCAGCAGGAGCTGGGCAAGTGCCTGGGCACCACGCTGAACAGATTACAAAACATCTGGGACGAGATAGGGATTCTGGACGAGCAACGACGAGAGCGCACGGACGTTGTGTTCCTGCACCTGCGTAACCTGCTGGAAGAGATGGTGAAGGAGGAGGAATCTCTGAAGACCAACCTGCTGCGCAATGTGGAAACATATGGTGCAGACATGCTGAAACTGAGCAAAGAGCTCGCTGTACAACCCTATGAGGTAAAGGAGAATGTGATTCTTTGGATATATAATAAAGAAAATAGTCTAGGAGGATTATAAGAGACAGGTCCCAGAGATTATCGTACTAACTTTGGATCTCCAAGGGGATTCTCATTTATGTGCGTAACTGGCTGAGATGCCTGTGATGCCTACTGAAGCTGATAGGGAGTAATAAACTATTGTTTAGCCGTTTTAGTAGGCGTGCCAGATTTCTAAGCCACTTAAGCTGAAAACAATTTAGGGGGAAAACCTCCGTGGAGATCCTGTTAGATCAATCAAGGGGTGGGAACCCAGTCTAATATCCAAGATATGTTGATTCCTTTCTACATTGATCAATTCTAGATAAATTCTGGACTCTGAAAATTATTTTGCATACAAATCACCCACCATTTATAATTCAGTTTTTTATATATTTGTAGCCCCCAGATGGTATATCAATCCTTCAGCTTGAGAAGGAGCTCCGGACTAAAGTGGACATCATGCAAAAAGAGAAACATAACAGATTGAAAACCCTGAAGAAGCTGCGTGAGCAGGACCAGCATGTGTGTGACATCCTGTGTACAACACCCTATTACATTCCCTCAGGCACAGTGCCCAGTGAGGAGGAACTGAACTCATTAAGGGAACATATTGCGTCACTGGAGGAAGAGAGAGTAAGAAATAGTGATTAGGCTTTTTAAAGAAATTAAATCTGTCTCTTTTAATATTTCACAATAGAATATACAAACTTTTTTTTTTTTTTTTTTTTTTTTGCCAATTTTCCCTGACCCCCACTTTTTCCACCTCAACACGGGACTAACCACCCATATTTTTTTAACCACCCAACATCATGTTTGTATTTAGTGCTTTGCCTTCAGGTATAACATTTTGCCAATATCAAAATGCTTTTAAATTCTTGAAGGGAATTGGACCAAGTTGTCTTGCAGCATGTTTATACCGAGTTGTCATTATGTAAGTGACACAAGTCATTGATCTTTAGGCAGTGTTTTATCCTCGTTTGCAGGAAAAGCGTCACACTGTTTTCCTGAACACCAAAAAAGAGATAGCAGCTATTTTAGAAGCACTTGACCAGTGTCCCAACACATCATTTGAAAAAGACATTATCAATGAAGAGGAGGAGGCTTTCCTGTTATCCAAAGAGAACATGGCTGCCCTGAAAGACTTGCACCAAGATGTAAGTCAACTTTATGACACATTTGTCAGTTTCTTATTTTTTTAATCATACTTTCCCCTCTCACCTGCTCATATTTTTCTTTCGTCCAAGCTACCAAATCTTGAAAGATTCTTATATTGTAGTTAAATAGCATTTTGATTTAAATTAAAATTGTGTTGACTTGGCTCAACAGAAAATGTTAATCGTTTCATTCTATTTCAAATCATTTTGATAACGTGAAACTATAATTAAAATGATTTGAAATAGAATGAAACAATTAACACTCTATTTCAAATCATTTTAATAAGGTGAAACTATAATTTGTTTCATGCAGCTCTCACAGAAAAAGCAAGATGCCCAAGATCTTGTGGAAAAGTTAAATGAGCAGCTGTTTTGGCTTTGGGACCGCCTGGTTATTCCACAGGAGGAGAGGAGTGCTTTTAAAGAAGCTAACAAAGGCATTAAACCCAAAGTCATACAGGCAGTAAGTATTCACTTGCATGTTTGAAAATTGATACTTGTATACTATTCAGATATATATATATTTAAATCAGCTATCTGCTTTTTTTTTTCCTTGGTATTTTCTTCCTGTCATGCTGCCCCCATACCTTATGTCATGAGGCCACCCAGACTTTTCTTCATACTTTCTTTTTTCTGACAACCCAAGAGAGTGCCTGTGCATTCATTATTGTATCAAATTTGCTTTTAAAATATATCTTCAGATACGGGACGAAATAGCCCGTTGTGAACAGCTGAAATTACAGAACATCCAGAGGTTTGTGGAAGGCATCAGGACAGAGCTGTCCAACTGGTGGGATAAATGTTTTTATTCAAAGGAGAAGAGAGAGGAGTTCACAGCTTTTAATGATGGTTAGTATCATTTTTTTATTCTCAATTTTCATCCCAGCTGACTACTGAGCACTCAAAGTGTCATGCCAGCCAGCCATCAGTTCATTTGCTTTAATTCCACACTTTTCACCAGTTTCATTGCTTTTTCTAAACTCCTTGACATTCTACATGGATCATCCTTTGGTTAAAAAACCAGGGGTCCTTCAGTCTGTTACATGTGGTTTCATTTACAGTAAAATTAAGAGAAGAAAATCTTACTGTTGCATAGGTACTAAGGATTGATGTAAAGCTTGATAATAAGATCTCACATTGATCAGAAGCAAAGTTACATGCCATTGCCACTTGTTTTTGCAATTGTTTGGCGCATTGAAGCAATCTACAGTTGGTTAGGACCTTGAATTGGTAGATGATTGACAGCTAAAAGAATTTGACTTCCTTGGATGATAAACTTAAAAGTTGGATTATAAAGAAGAACACTCAAGGTGCTGAAACATCTTATAAAACTCCTTATTTCACCCAGTGTGATGATGGCAATAAGAAAAGTTATCCAAAAAACTATCCTGTTTAATTGCTTTAGTACATTTAAATTTTTCATTTCTTCCCTTATTTTCTTTCATTTCAGATAATTTTACAGAAGAGTTGCTTGAACAACATGATGTAGAGTTATCAAAAGTTCGCAATTACTACGAAGAGAATAAAGCTCTCCTAGACAGGGTCCACAAGTGGCAAGAAATGTGGTGTGAACTCAAAGTTTTTGAGGTGCTTTTTTATTTCTGAATCAAATTGTTACACTTGTTCAAATGCCCAAAATCTGCAGTAATTGTCACTATTTGTCAGTTGATTACAAACAAGTTTACTTGTTCAGATTAAAACAAAATGCATTTTGCTTTGATTGTTGGAAGATAAATATTTTGTAATTAATTATCACCATTATAATTATTTTTATTTCATTATTTGTTTTGTGGTCTCTACAGAAAAAAGCTGCAGATCCAAACAGGTTTCACAATAACAGAGGGGGTGCTTTGCTGCAAGAGGAAAAACAGAGGAAGAAAATAGAGAAACAGCTACCAAAGGTGAGAGGAACTGAAATTATTGAAAATAGGCACAACAGTTTTGTAGATTTGTTCTACAAATTTAAAGCATTTTATTTAATCTTATTTGTTTGTTCATATTTTTATTTGTTTGTTTTCATTTATCTTTTGGTTGTGCAAGACAAATTTAAGGGTGTGCTCACACAATGTACCAGACGTTTCCCAACTTTTACAAATGTCAAGCCCTTCTCCTATTCCTCAAAGTGTGATCAGTTTTGAACCTTGTTACCTTGCCACCAGGTGGAGCAGGAGGTCAAGACAGCCATACAGCAGTGGGAAACAGAGCACAGCAAGCAGTTCCTAGTGGGAGGTGTGGAGTTTGTGGACTACATTGAACAGCAGTGGGAGATCCACAGGCTGGAGAAGGAGAGGGAGAAATTAGAAAGGGTAAGGGCCAGTTCTTTGTTCACACCATGCATTGAGCTTATTGCAGTTACACTCTGTGTTAAAATTGCCGAGCATAAAATATTACCTTGAAAAACTCAAAGCTGACGTTTTTCCTGGGGTAAATGGTATTTTCCTCGGACTTACCAGCCTTTGATCCTCCTTTCCTTAGAGTCCATTTAGGACTCCTTAAAAGCCACATTTATCTGATGGACATTCAATTCCTTAAAGTGACTAAAGAGGATTTTTCTTAATACAAGAGAGGAAATCGGTTAACCAGACAGTCACAAACTGATTTCAGCATAAATCACATCTTGAATTTTAAGTGAAGATAGCTTTGAGATGTTTTAGGATTTCACTCTCATTTTGACTAATGCTGTCTGTTTGTTCCCAGCATCAAAGAAATGCCAAGGTGACAGAGGAAGAGATGATCTTTGGCAGTAAGCCAGCCACGCCCTCCGCCAAGAGACGGTTCCTTCTCACTCCTTCCAAGACTCCAAACAGCAAGATGAGAAAGGTACGGTGTTTCTGGTAGCCATACATTGCTTAGCTCCGTTAAAGCAATAATAACTCTTCGTTTCGGCCAAAAAATGAATTTTCCTGGAGTAAACAACAATTTTCCCATACTTACCAATGGTTAATGAATCCATTTTTACATTCAAAGTTAGTCCCTGGTTTTTTTCTAGTTTGGTTTTTTCAAGTTTGGTTTTTTGTTAAAATCTCTTAAGAGATTTTAACAAAGTATAGACATCAATGGAGGTCACGTGGTCTAAAGACAAGTTCAAATATCAGAATAAAAGCTATAACTGCTGTTTTTGTGGTAAAACAGAATATATTATATTTCTATGAGTTATTCACAAGGTTTTTATTGTGAAATATAGGTCTCATACAAAGAGTTATTATGCCTTTAAGTATTTATTATTTATGTTTTATTTCAACTGCATCATTATGTTTCCTTATTCAACACAGGACAACTTTTTTTAGCATTGTGAGTTGAGAACCTGTGCAAACAGGACTTTAATTAGTTCACTTTAGAAAATGAAGGTAGGTAGTATGTAAATAGTTATTTTAGGTGCATGATGTCCTTGCTGCAAGCACTTTTTGAAATGTTATCTCAAACTTCCTGTTTTTGTATCAGCTGAATGACACCACAAAGACACCACGGTCTACAACATTAATTGGGGGCACCGTCTTCCCTTCACCAGCTGGACTCCCACCAAAGTCTGCTGGCAAAACAATGTCATCCAAGGTAGGTCGAAAGGGCAGATTTGAAGATTTTCTTTAAGAAGGGGGGAAAGGACTCAATAGCTTAATTAATATGTACCCTAATCCTAACATCTAGCGCTGTTCATATTTTAAAAGAATTCTGTCTTCTTTCTGGTCAGACCCCCCGCAGACTGCGGCCAACACAGCAGCGGATGCAGCGCAAAGTGCTGGGCGAGAACACCCAGCAGAATGTCGTGGGTGACCAGTCCAACATCTTCAGTCACACGACCCTGAGTGCAGGCGGAGGAGTCAGAGGTATTCATAATGCAAGTACCGTGTCAATAGGCTCCACAATCACGTACCAAGACTTTGCAGTAAGTAGTGCTTGTGTTGCATGATGCTGGCATGATTAAACTGTGGGGAAGCTTTCTGTTTTCTTTTAGTTTACATAGATGTAGGATTATTAATATCTTTAACAGAATAGTTGTTGAAATTGAAGGTGATGACTTTGTTTTGATGTATTTATTCGTCAGTTTTGGCACTTTAACACTTTGTCCTCAATGAAAACTGATGAAAAACTTCAAAGCATAGATGGCTATTCTCCATTTTTTGTTCTTTGAATGTCTCTAGTAAGTTGTGATTTATGAGTGTTGAAGATCTTCAAGATGTTACATAAATACAAAGTGTTTAAGCTTGAATGATAAAAAAATCCATCTGTTATTTTGGTTGCTTTTTTATACAAAGTGTTTGATAGCAACAAATTTTATTACATTAGAACTTGTATCCTGAGCAGTGTGCATGCTGCTGCATCACTAATACTCTCACTTTATTCCTGGAAAGCTTCCCTTGCTTCACTACTTTGCATCTTTAATTTGCTAATCTTTTCATTCTTGTATTTTTTTTTCTCTCTCTCTCAGCATTTGCTAACTATCCATTTTTATTTGACAGCAACACATTTTAAAATGTAAATCTGTGTTTAGTCTCATTCCTGGTTGACAGATAACAGTATGTTGTGGCTAATGGCTGGTTAAAAGAATGGACTTACTAGTACTCACATGGTGGATTGTTTGTGGGGAAAGAAAGCATGCACTGATAAGTCACTGGTATGGTTTCTAAAGTTTCCCACCAAGACACTGTCTTGGTGGTAAACTTCAGTACAGATGTGTGTGTTGGGTAAATGTAGAATTTATGACATTTACTTGAAAATTATAAACATTGGTGGCAACGAGGGATTGTATGATTTCATATTTTACCCGACTCTGTTACATCAAGATGAAAGTTCTATGAATTGTTCGTCTGTTATATAGCATATGATGAAAATAAATGTTGAAGCATTTGAAACCAACTTTATTTCATCATCCAGTGACAGCTTCTGCAAGAAGATAGCAGCAAGAAATAATTGTAGAAAATTATGGGCTGGATAGTTTGGCTTCACACTTGTTACTTTGTTAATTACATGAGAGAGAGAGGGAGAGAGGGTGTGGTTGGGTCCATGTCGAGCATTACTTTACTGTGCTGCATGTGTTGTTACCAACTTAATAATGGTGGTAACCACTCTCATGTGAAAAAGTTCATACATGGGGATGCCTGTATCAAAGGGTGTGTCTGTACGTGGAATGGGGATGCCTGTATGTGGAATGGGGATGCCTATATTAGTAAAAGGGATGCCTGTATGTGGAATGGGGATGCCTATATTAGTAAAGGGAATGCCTGTATGTGTAATGGGGATGCCTAAATGTGTAATGGATGCCTATATGTGCAGCACCGTGTAGTTTGGTAGGTTATTCACAGGCTAGTGGTGACCTAGTGGCTTCTGCTTATCTAACAGCCAGGCACTACTGCAAAGGTCGACGTGATTCCCATGCTGTTATATTGTTTGTGGATCATGTCAAATAAGTCGTGATTGTCAGTCTGTGTTATTGTGTCCAAGTATAGCACTGCTGCAGCCTGTTCTGCTGTAGATAAGTAACACATTGTTGCAAAGACTATAATCTGTTTATATTATAATAGCATGCAACTTATTCAGATTATGAGACTTTTTTTTTACTTTTTGTAATCTGAATATTGTTTATAGGCTAAAATGATTGTTGATTTATGTTTTTATTTCCCCCATTTTGTATTTTTAATCCTCCAACACATATTGTTCTATTTTTCACAATCCTTGAGGTGTGGAACTGCATGCCAGCCATCCCCTCACCCCCACCCCACCCCTCTGTTACTGCTCACATCTTATTCCCAGCTTATATATCTTTATGTCTGGCCTAGCAAGTTGAAAAAAAAAATAAGTGATGAAAGTATTTTAAAACATTGTGGTTGTAAGTTGCATGGATAATGTTTGATATTGTTTTTGTTTTATAGAACGAAGTCCTCTACACAGATGAGAAAATTTCTTCTTCTCCGAAGTGTACGTTTTTTTAAAGAATCATTTTATGTGATCTGTATTATGGCTGTACTGTAAAACTATACCTTTATAGCTTTTAACAGTAAGAAGCATAGTGTGACTTTCTGATTATAATTGTTTTGTCAATACAGTGGTTTTGCTTAATGGGTAGAACATTTGAAAAGTTGTTTGCAGTGAATAGTGCATAAGTGCTAAATGGCAATTAATCCTTGTAGAGGTAAAATAGGTGACGTTGGCATATTGAAGTATCAATTGACGTGAAAAGTGACACCAGCCCAATTAACAATCAATTAGGGTGTCATGGTATTTCTATATTTTTACTGTTATATCAATCACCGAGAGAAGTTGTCTCCCCAACCCATGAAACTTGTACACATGGGAACCTCTGCTTGCTTTTGGTTCTTCTTCTTTTTTGTGCTTTTAGTGTGCTTAGTCATAGTATTATTTGTATCTGTTGCAGTATCCTGATCAATTACATTGTATTTTCATTTCTTCCAAATCTCAAATGCCGGGGGACAAAGGCTGATTTTTTTAATTTTTATTTTTCAGAGGGGCCTTGGTCACAAAACACGCCCAAACTGCCGAAGTAGTGTCATTCCTAAACCATGCCCAAAAGCTACGTACCTATGATGAGGAAACCATTTGATCTGCTGAATCTGAGGACAACTTCATAGAGCTGCATACTCGTAAAAACATGTGCACTTCTGCTGCATGTGACCTCGGATGGAATTATGTTGGTGACTTTCAGTTTACTTAAAAACCTGTTCCCAGTGGCTGGGAAATCCTTCTTGAATCTTGAAATGCATTGGAGACATGGCATTTATCATCAAGTGCGTACATTGAGATTGGGGAAAAAAACAATATGATACAGAAAGTATGACTTAATGATTTTATTTGTGCTATTAAGCAGGCCACCCTGCATCAAGTGTCAACTGATCTATTTATAAAGCTTTCTGGGCTACAAGTGGTGCCATCTTTGGGGTGTAGGAATCAGTGACCTTTGCGGGATATCTGTCACTTGCAAACATCCTTGTATCATGGTGACCAGTGTTAACCTTCTGGTATTTTAATATATTTTAAACACATTCTGTTGTATATAGCTGTACATAGAGGACTGCTATGATTGTGAAGAGTGGATCTGGAAGTGACTGACTGATAATTCAACTGAGCTACTTAGGTGGAATGTATCAAATAAAAGCAAAACACTTTTAATTTGGCTAATGTTAGGAATACACATGGAACTTATAGGCCTTTGATTTTGATGATTAATATTTGCACCTTGAGAAGGCTCAATGACAAATGCTTTGTAACATTACCAGGTGACTTGACAGATGAGTTTAAAATCTATTACTGACACTTGTTATTGGAAATTAAAGGCCAGCTCTTTCGGCATATTTTTTTGAATGATTTGTGATGATTATTATTATTATTATTAATACCAAACATCCTGAGTGGGAGTGGTTCACCAAATATGATGAATTATTTCTAAACCACCAACTGTAACATTTGTCTGATCATGGAAATACATCAAAATGTGGTGACAGTGATATCTTGATTTTAATGACATTTGCAGTTAGCTTGGTTGAAAACTTGTCTGAATTTAGGAACAAAATATCTGAAATTTTTTTCTACTGGTGCACTTTCTATAGACTGGATATGTTTGTACAACTTGGAGTGTAGAACCAAGAACCCCCTGTAAATAATGGCAAATAAACATCTACTCTCACTTTTTTCTTTATTTTATATTGTAAATGTACCACCAGGGCGTATGCAGGAGGTACCATGAATTTGACCTGGAACCACTTGTTCACAATTTCTTTTAAAAGATTTTGACCCGATTTTTCCAGGCTATTAAAACAGGTTGGGGGGGGGGGGGATTCAACTCGAAATTGCTACATTTGGATGTCGCCTGCAATGTCCGAACATGATAACTACGTATCTGTAGTGCAGGCGACACCATGGACATAACATTTTCATTTATTCTTTTTACTGAAAACCTTCGTGGTTCCCACATTTATCAATCGATACAAACAGAATGGTCTGTTTAATAAGTATATATATGATATGCATACATTTTGTACAAAGAGGGTACGGTATGAAGTTTATCAGTAGCGAGGAAGGAATTCGAAGGGCCGACCAAGCCCCCCTTAGAAGAAAAAGTTAATATTTTGGAATAAAACCACACACACAGCCACCCTTGTCAACCTAAGATATTAGTTTAGTTGTTAAGTTCACGATAACTTTTCTCCCAAAGATAACTGGCTACTGCTATCTTCATGGTGTATGGATTGAATCCATTTATAATGTGCCACAGACAATCTGTTCAATCAGTAAATTGTTGGTTCTGTGTATCTATTACCTGGAGGAAATATTGTTCATAAGCTTTCCATCATGAATTCTGCTTAAAGGGCAACCGTTATTGATTATAATTATTATCATTATTTAGCATAAGTGCGAAAAGTGGAAAACCGTGATAACATAGCAAATAGCTTCAGTTGTGGTAATTGACGAAGTGAAGAAAATCAATTTTTCAGTTACGATGGAATTTATAAAGGCATTAATGTAGATGACCCAAAATGTTTTAAGGGTGTGAACATATAATCACTGGAAGCCGAAACTGATAGAAACCGAAGAATTTTTTTTTTTTTTTTTCATTTTCGGAGCAAGACAATAAGACCGTGTAGGGACATGCGGTGGTCGAATGGCCCGAGGAAAGCACTGAAGAGACATTAGTTGTTTCCAACAACACGAAGGCGTGGTTCATAATAGAGATGCACTTATTAACTTGCCATCAAAGACGACAGTCCACGTAGGTTTGTACGTCGCTGGCGAAACGCAATTAGTTTTCCAAGTTGAAGTGTCGGAAAACCTTAATTTAATGGTTTATTATTGATTTTTGACATTCCGGTCGTTGGAAGTAGGGAAAATGTTGCTTCATGCCTCACGAGCCCTTTGTTTCACCCCTGATTTCATATTTGACAGAATCGTTCAATCTCTCGAGTGCCACGGCTCCATTTCCGTTTCATGTGCAGATACATTTTAATGTTCATAAACGTTCATATACATGTGTACATTGCTAATGGCCGGCCAGCAATAGAATGGATCTTATATCACCTCTTTTTGTGCCTGTGTCATCTTGTCCAATAATTCGATAATTAGGCTTATGATACCTGTGTAAAGATTTAGAATAGTAGTTGGCGAATGGAATTTCTCACAAAAAAAATGAAATTTAGCGATTTCAATGCGCAAAAGTCGATTCAATTTGAATGGTTTCACAGAAAAATAATCCTCCCGATGGAATACTATATCTTTTCACACAAAAGCAAACTGTGTAAATAAGAGATAATATTACAGTTACAAACAAGACCTGCCATGCACTGAGCAATTTTAGCATTTCTTCGTTTGACATCAATTTGTTTGTGTTTTCAAACTTAACGGCAACGGGTGTAGGGGTAGGCTTCTTTCATCGCCGCTATGCCGTAAACGATTACTAATTATGCAATAGGTACTCGGTACTTGAATTTGAGAGTAACGCCTTATTATTCACTTGAAGTTGTACATCCATTGCTCATTCAAGTGCTGTTAAATGCAGCTGTCGTCATCAAAATTTACGACGACTCTGTTACGTCCGACTGTTTCTGCGTCGTCAATCAACGTGAAATACCAAACAATGCTAGCAACACGGCCGTCACCGGTCTTGCTGATACATTATGCACAAATTAGCACCACTTACAGACCGTTATTCGCTGAAATAATTCTAGGGAAACCAGAACAAGCAATTAATTGCATATTATCTTCCCCTTTCAGTCGACTACCTGCTATCGTTACTCAGGTGATTGGACGCTCCATTACCTGAAAGGAAGCACGTGACCCGGTCACTCAATGGTAAAGCATAATCCAATAGATCTGTCGTGTTATTAAGTCATCATGACATTTGTTTAATTGCTTCTTGGAAAAGGTGACTTGGGCTTTAGTCCAGTGGCCGTTGTTTACGTGAAACTATTTGGATTATTAGTATTTACAACCTTCAAGTATGGCGCATGATTAGGTGAAACGTTATCTGAAATAATTTCAGGATATCTGTACAAACGTCAAAGATTGGAATTGTCACTGATTATTTTTCATGTAGGAATACCAATAGCAATGTTGAAATTGTCCTAACTGTTAAGTCAGTTCCAGAAAACAACTGCGAGCGAGCAAAATTATGATATAGTGCCTCGTCAATTTACAAGAATGGAATCACCGAAAAAGGTTGTGGAAAATTCAAGTGATGGACTGAAGGAAATGGTTGAACGATTTGGCCAGGATGCTACAATGCATGGCGTCCAGTACGTTCTGGGCGGGAAAGATGTTCACATTGTTCGTAGGTAAAAACAATTTTTGTAGGCCTAATTAACACTTCTGTTTTTTATCTTTTCCTCGTTTACTTCAGGTTTAATCGTGTCATCACGTATTGTATATGGCAGTTTTTTTCAAATGGCTAAATTCTAAAATTTGAATCCCTTTAAATGCAGATCTCCAATAAGAACCATTAGTGCTCTTCATAACCAATGCTGTTGATCTCTGATTTTAGGTTAATATGGATTTTACTCGTGATCTCCATGAACGTCCTCTGTGTAGTTCTCATATCTCGCACCTTCATTCAATTTGACCAGCATCCGGTCCAGACGAGTGTCGGGATGCAATACGCCCGGCCCATTGCTTTCCCCACAGTCACGCTGTGCAATTTCAACCGGTACAGAAACTCCACCCTGCCCCAGGACGGGGAACTGTTTAAGCTTCTCGTGGCAGCCACCATGAGGTACGAGGACGACGACATGGCGCGCGTTAACTTGTCATCACCGGTCGTACAGGCCTTCATTAACGACCCGAACGTCGTGGAGAACCTCAAGCGTAGGGGCCACCAAATGGAGGACATGGGAGTCAGGTGCGCTTTCCGAGGGAAACCCTTCAACTGCACGGATTATTTCCGCCCAGTTATAACCGATTTCGGACTGTGTCACCAGTTTAATGGCAATGGCACCATGGTGACCGAGCGTGCCGGTAGCACTGACGGCCTCTGGTTGTGGATCAGGGTGCAGCATGAAGAGTACACTTTTGGCCAGCCTGCCCTCATGGCGGCCGGGATGAAGGTGAGCAAGGATTTTCAATAAATAAAATGAATAGACAATTAAAAAAAAAACACTCCTTTTACTGCCACTTTCAACATTGGTTTTAAATGAATTAGAGCCCAAATATAAGTCTAAGTTAAAACCAAGCGAGTTCTTTTCATTTTTCAGTGTCCGTAGTTTTCGCTAATGGCTGTTAGTCTTTATTAATCGTCTTAATTTATCGTCATCATAATAATGGACTCCATAATGTCTATTTGTTGATAGGTTCAGGTACATGGCCACAAGGAAACGCCGATGGTCAAGAATTTAGGCGTGGCCGTGGCGCCCGGGACGGACAATTATCTTGCCATACAGAAGATGGAGGTGAGACTTCAAACAAATACATTAGAAAAATTCAAATTTCCATTTTTTGTGTGATATGTTTGTTTGTAACAGTGGATGTATGCAACGAAAAACAGCCATCATTTCAGTTAATAAAAATAATTTATTTCCTATATCTGCTATACATGGCATTCAGTCGTACATCCAGAACATACTCTGTATACCCTAAGTAACACGTAAAGCCACCTCATACTGCTGCTTTTCGTGTCCAATGGGACACATGTATATATATTTCATATAAGCAATTAATAATGAATGAATGTATAATAATTAAGTTTCGTGTGGAAAATAACCTTGGTTTCTCCAATACAAAACAGGCGCCCGGCCTAAACGACGAGCACGACGAGAGAACGGCAATAAGTGATCTTGAAATATTCTATATGCCCAAAACTATTCAAAAATGTTTATGACACGCATATATTTAAAGATCAGCCGAAAGATACTTGTATCCAGTATTAGAAAAACTAATTTATACTTTTCTTCATACAAATGATTTTCAGGGCAAAAAAGTTGTCAGTTGTCGAATCCAACACTTTTTTTGCTCTCTGTAGCTGGTCGGCTTGCCACCACCCTACAAGGGCTTTAACTGCGTTGCCACGGATGACGCACAGTTTGTTAATCCACTGAAACACACGAGCGATTACAGCTTCTCGGCGTGTGAATTGGAGTGTGAGATGGAGCATTTAGTCAGTCTATGCGGCTGTAAGATGGAGTTTCATCCAGGCAGGTGTTTGCTGATTTAACAAGCATTCATATTTATTTATCTTGCCATATGTACATGATCTTGCGTTAATGAAAAATGCATTTTGGCCCATTCCGCCATTTAGTCTTAATTATTTGAGTTTTTGTATAGTCATTTTGGATTATTGATAGGCTAATCAATTTTCTTAATAACGGCACTATTTTTGCCTCTTTAGGGCCTGCGAACGTTTGCACCATAGCTGAGGTCATAAACTGCTCTCTCGAAGTCTTGGGTAGGTTTTAGACATTTTTAGTAACATCTAATTACTTACATAGAATTTTGGTCTAGAAAACGAGGCCTAACTATAAATAGACTAGGTTGTTGTTTCTGACAAACTGCAAAAATCAAGTTGGTTTTTTCAGAAAGGTACCACCAAGAGCGTAACCACCATTGCTGCCGCCCGCCATGTAAAGACACGCAATACAGCGTGAATCTGAACAGCGCCACCTATCCAGCAGATTTCAGTATTGGTCATCTTCCAGACGAGCTCCCTCAGGATAAACCATTGGAATACCTCAGGTTTGACACAAAATTTTCATTTATAGATTATGAAAGATAACCATAACACCACATACCCAAAGTCAAAGTAAATATGTGCTTTTCTTTTACAGGATATTTTAAAAAGACACCTTGAATAATAAAATGGCCTACCGTGAGCAAAATAGCTCTGTGCTATTAAAATATCTTAATGGAATCGGTAATAGCATTTTGTGTATTGTATCCTGAAGATATATCAATTTACTAATTTGTCCATATAATAGAATTATTGAAACGGCTTTGAACTTATCTCCATTAAGATTAAATTGTTCCGTATCTTTTTAGAAAAGAATACTTGGAGCTAAGGATATTTTATGAAGAATTAAATTTTCAGCGCATTGAACAAATACCAGTGTACACATTAGAAAAGCTAGTCGGCAAGTATCTTTATAACTGAATGCTTTTATCTAATTTTAAAATGTGAAAGGGCCAATTAATGATGTCAAAATTGAGCAAGTTAAGCATCATTATTATCGTGAACAGTATTATTGTTTGGCATTATTTAAACAATTTATGTTCATGCACTTTGAAAAACGAAGCAAGTTTACATGTAGACTAATAATTGGCATTATTTTAGTTCGGTGTGTTAAGTGTGAATTAAAAACACGCTAAAGAAATCGCTTTAGGATAGAGTTTTGAATGAACAGAAGAAGGAAAGACTGCATAAAAAACTATCAAATTCTGTGTAACACATTTTTTATTTATTAATGAGTACAATGACCTTTGGTTCGTTCGTTTTTGTTATTTTTTATATGAATCTACCAGTGTGGAGGTGTTTGCAGGCTATGCTGTCTGAATGCATTTTTGCTTTAATATTCCATTTATTTATTTATTTATTTATTTATTTATTTATTTATTTATTTATTTATTTATTTATTTATTTTATTTTATTTTATTTTATTTTTTTATTTTTTATTTTTGCAGGTGATATTGGCGGCCTACTTGGCATCTTTCTTGGCGCCAGTTTCTTGACGCTGTATGAATTAATTGAGCTGATAGGTCGTATCTTGGTCGTCTGCGGAATGCACATAAAGCAAACAAACAAATGTGATACGAAATAGAAAATAAATTGTCTCTTTTACATGTATTTTCATCTCTGCATAAGCAACACTTGGCCTTATTTAAATAATTTTTTAATGAATTCTATTCACTATGAACTTTAGAAATAAACATGCATGTTGGTAGTAGAACGACAGTATTGAATTTTTTTATTCAACATTGTTTTGATATTAACCTAAATTGTGAAATTTAAGTGAATAAACTATTCCATAGTAAATTTATTTGTTCATTTATTTACAGTATATTCAAAAGCTTGTCTTAAGTAACGAAAGATGTCATAATTAAAATCATTACGTTAGTAGAGTGACGTTTTTTTTTACTTTAGTGACGTCATAAACGGCGCAGTTACGTAAAATGTGAAAAAAAACTACTGGCAACTTCACAAATAACACGCACACTGCATGTACATGCACGCACACACCTGTATAACACACGAAAACAGTAAAACGCCCTCGCATACAAGCAAAAACGCTCTATAAGTACACAGAATAGACAAAACAAGATGAGACGTAGAAGGCGGATTAAAAAGAGCAAGGTGAGCCCAAATTACGCGTAATAAACTTGCTCTTCTTTTCTTAGATGTAAATTTTGTCAGAGGTCGTGTCTTAAATATAAGTTCGCCATTTCAATAATGCAATCGTTTGTTAGAAAGAACTCAAAAACGTTTCTTCTAGTGAACCTTAATAGAAACGGTTTCAATAATGCTTTATTCCATTTGCTTCAGATAAACAGTCTAAGTCGGGCAAGTTCTTTGCCCCCTCCTCGAGCAGTATCCGGGCCTAAAGCTCCATCGGAACGCTCAGGGACTGTGTTTAAGGGATGGAAGAAGAACGCCATCAATCCTACCACCTTACCAGTCCCCCGAATATCGCCTGGAATAGCGAGACAGCGTCCACCTACCCCCACACAAGTACATGTAGGTCCTTCTGATTTTTTTTTAGTTTTGAAGTTTATAAAGCATTTTTATAGTCATTGTTACTCACATTTTTCCTCAAAGAGGAAACAAAACAAAATGCATTTTGAAGCAAAAATACAATGATTGTGAGCATTTTACATTTTGATTTTATTGTTTTACAAAGATTTAACATGCTTAAGATATGGAAGTAGTCTGTGAACATGTGCAGGTATAAAGATGTTTTAATCATGAGAAAATGCATTTTCATATTCAAGATACTTACACAGACCACGCCTAAAACAATCGATACAAAGATAAATACTAAAGGTGTATTGAAGAATATAAAAAACATCCAAAGAAATGTCCTCACCCCAAACTCTCAAAGTAAATCCGGTCATCAGACAAAATCGCCGTCGCACTCAGATATTAAGGAGGCCATAAAACAAGTAAGATATATACCAACTTTTATTGGCAACATTTGAATTCAGAAATTCCGATAACTATAGTATATGATGTATTATTATTATTATTAGATACATGTTTAAACAGGAAAATGCATAACTTAGTTTCAACTGGAAATCGTCGATGTAAAAATGTACATATTTGCACACAATTTTGGTACTGTATAGACACACAAGTAAGCTGGGTTTAATGTCTTATATCTTTCATGGTATTTTACGTAGCCCAAAACAAAACGTGACCAAACCGTCAGCACATTGTAGGCCTAGAATCTACGTATGTATAGGGCGTAAGCTATATCAGTTGAGTTTAATTCAGATAGATGCTGTTTCTTGGGAATTTGTTATTCATAACAATGCAGTTTTTTTGTCAAGATTTTTCTGTGCAAGACGTTTTCTGTTTAGGACTTGCGCAGGCGCATTTCATCGCTTCCCATTCCCTGCAGGCCCCTGTCACCCGTGACTACAATGGGTCTACGGGAACTAGGCAGGGAACTGAAGATACGCCTGGCGTCCCGAACGCCGCAGCTGAGGGAGACACCCACCGACAGAGGAAGGTGTGTCGTACAGCTGAAACACACGGGATACAGGAAGGTCCCTCTGTATGACATCAATACTAGAAAACAAGAAGGGACGCTGTCTTCTTACGTCAACGTGAAGCTGATGGCTAAGAATATGAAATATAAATGACTAACAGGGCTTGCATCAAGGGATTCTGACAACGTAACAGACCTCCTTGTTGTATTTGGTTTTCATAAAACCAACCATTACATTTGGCTTTGTAAGATCAATGCTGTCGTCATCAGTTATATGATTCAATATAATATATTAATTGAATAACATTTAATACCACAAAAATATATAGCTTACTATTACATGAATTCCAGTTATGGTTTAACAACAATCAACTATAACGCCTATCTAATTCTGTAAACATCCCTACGCCACTAGAAATAATGATAAAGTACCAAGAATAATGGGCATAAGACAGCAAGGTACCAACGTAATGAGATATATTTGGGCATTGAGAAGTAAAAAAAAAACTCTACAAACCTCATACAAATGCATCAATGTAAAGACCTATTATACTGTATATTATGTCTTGAAGTTATAGACAAATTACATAAGTAAGGTTTTGCATTCCGTGTTCAATATCACTCAAGGCTCATTTGGAATAATACATTTTTGACAACCCAATCCATTTTACATATTTTACATATACATTTTATGTTCTACCTAGTTTTCCTATAATTTTTCTTTTTCATCCTCCTCAGCCTTTAACCTATCTTTATCTTGAGCTCGCTTTTTCACCTCGTACTTCTTCCTGCGCCTCCTAATTGAGATATATTTGTACAGTCCTATAGCCGCTAAGATTAGGAATAAAGAGACGGCCACACCCACTAGAGCGCCGTACAAGGTAAAGTCCACGCCTTGTTGTCCCGGGGCTGGGGCTGTTGCAGACACGGCTGGCGGGGGTGCGGCGGTGGTGGTGGTGGTTGTGCTGGTCGTCGTCGTGGAGACGTACAAGGCCTTAGCGATCACTGCGCGGTCCATTCGCTTCACTCGTTCCACGTCTTTCACCGCGTCCTTTGTCATTTGAGATATCTGAAAGAAAGAAAATGAACAATTCACATTTCAAGTTACCTTTTCATTATAACATAGCAATTACTACAGATATATATTCTCTTCTTTGATGAATATAACTTGGTTTATGTCCCTTATCTTAAATGTATACTATTCGTGTTGGAAACTTGACAAAGTCATATTTCCACGTCTGCGTATCATGCAAAGCTACTTATTTTTCCCAGTTCAGACCTTAAAACAATAAAACTTACAAATAATAGTACCTGATGTCGATATTTCCTTTGCAGTAAGACATGAATTTAGGTGACTTGTAACCCATCTCTAAATTCAATGCTTATATGCGTTATGTGTATAAGAGATATCAAAAGCACATTTCAGATCATAAGGAATCTTACAGCAGGGTTTCTTGACACCACACAATCAAACTCGCATGTCTCTCTGAACGCTGGGTCCTCCACATCCTGACACACTTGGTAACAGCGCGTCTCCGAACGCTTCTTTCGAGATCTCTGGCGGCGTTCCTCAATGACTCCCCCTGTGAGTAAAGACATTATAATTAGGGATCTTTGATACAAAATTATTATCAATATTTAAAACTTAAATTTCCAAATATTAGTTGGTAACACCACTCCAAAACACTCATCTAAGACAGAAAAACAGAGCATCAGGGCCCAATTTCATCAACACTGGATATAGTGCTATGACACAACACCATTGGATGGACTTGTAATCCTCTGGACAGTTACCATGAGGATGGCAGCCATTTCTAAGCGCAGAGCAGCTATATCAGTAGCAAAATAAAATAATTAGTGTTTTGGAAACACATATATAACCGTCCAGAAAATAAAAGTTTTATGCAATGGACAGTTATCAAGAAGATAGCGCTATCCAGCATTGACAAAACTGGACCCAGCAGTGAGCTGTATAATTTGAGACCTTTCCACGGATTCGTACAAAAACATGGATGATTATATACGATATTCTCGGAAACATCAAGGTATTCTCTACCTCTGCCAATGAGTTGATTAGCTGGACAACCAGTAATCAGGAGACCGTAGGATTCCTGGCAGAGTTTATCCGCGGCTCTGATGGTGAAGAAATAGTGTGGGCCCCAGTGCTGTATCATTAAGACCACTCCCAGCGTCTCGTGTAGTATCTGTACCTGGGAATAGTGCATTCCAGTGAGTACCACCCGGTCCATGCCTGCAGGAGGGAAGAATTGGGTTGAACATAATAAACTCTTTTTAACGCCTTCTCATTAAACGTACGGAAAAATATGTTTTAATATATCATAGTATGCATTATCATATTTATGCTTCATTACAAGGCTATGCTTACCACATAAATACACGTAGTCTAGAAACTCTTTTCTAAAGAATGAAGCGCTTTACACTTTTTATGTGATTATCAAATAATGCATCCAAGAAGGAAAAGAATGAAGCGTAAAAGTAAAAATAGACTTTTATAATGAGTTTAGTGTGTGCACAATGCCAACAGTCATATAAAAACCTTGCTCTAGTGAATACTAAGAGAAGGGAAAATCTGTATGACAATGGGCCGTAATGCCCCCCCCCCCTCCTTAGGCTATAACATCATGATCCTACACGTCCTCAGTGTTGAACTCACCAGTTCCTATATAGTTTAGGTGAGTGTTGTCAAAGTTCACAGGTAGCTGCCCATTACGGGCCGTGTACGAGCCGACAATCTCACTGTCGTTCATTCTGCGGAAATAGGCATTAAGCTGAAAATAAACAACGTGTAATTTATTATATCATAATCACTGAGGAAGACGGCACCTATTATGCTTTCGTCATTGTTTTATTTCACTCATCAAAATATTGAATTTATCGATTACCTAAAACTTTATACAACTTATCCCACAATAATAAATAAATAAATAAATAAATAAATAAATAAATAAATAAATAAATAAATAAATAAATAAATAATAGAATAAAAAAGACCCACTTTTAATATTGAATTTATTTTAATATTTAATGTCAATCCAATGATAAATACAGTCTTCAGTCTACAAATTTGACATATTAACATGTACAAAAAAGACTCACACTCCTGACCGTGGTGGCCCTCTGACCGATGTATTCGTTCACTCCACTGATCTGGATGTATTTATTGGTGAAGTAAAAATGGCGTCCCTGGGAAGAGCAGGTGTACAGCTGACTATCGTTACACATCTTCAGATGAGGATCGCCGTATACTCCGATCGTGCATCGGGTTTCACTGGCAAAGTTCTGGAAACAATAAAAAAAGACATTATGACTGAATTTGTCTTAGGTACTTGTCTTAGATACAAATACTATTTATTTGAAGTATTTTATTGGAAAAATTATCAAAAAGACTTTAAGTTGACTAAGTATTACCGGAGACGCGAAAATCTCTCTGAATTTTGCGCTAAGACAGGATACGCTGCCAATGCTCATTACTTTAATAACCCCTAATATCGGGGGACTCTAAAATAGTATACAAAATTAAAGTATACATGTAAAGTACAACGGGTATAATAATTTTGTAACAGACAACTTGCAGACCCTGTGGTTAGAGAGAACTCACCACTGTGGCGTCTCGTTGCATGTCCAGCGTGGTCTCATTGATGATAGAAGGAAGCTGTAACTTCACCAAGTGAAAGAAATACTCCCTGGTGACGTCATTACAGCGCGAGGCCGTCACGATATCTCGCATACATCGGAACTGAGCCCTAGCGAGCCTGGAATAACGGGAGGGGTCAACTATAATGTACCTGTCACATAACTTAAAATCTTGAAAATCAGGTTACGTTACGTTACGTTACGTTACCTTATGTTATGTTATGTTATGTTATGTTATGTTATGTTATGTTATGTTCGTTTCTGGAAGATTAAATAAACAAATTATTGATCCGGATCACCACCAAAAACTAATCATCTCTTCCTTGGCCCAGTTCCTGAAAATTTCATCAAAATCGGTCCATAACTTTTTGAGTTATGTTGATGACAGACAAAAAGACAAACACAGGGGTGAAAACATAGCCTCCTTGGCGGAGGTAAAAACGAAAAAAAAAAATAAATAAATAACACTGATAGAACAACGCAAGTACTAAAAAGCATGACCTTGTTTTTTCACCATGGTATCAGTCACCATTCCGGCAAATGTATTGTACGTTATGTAATTTACACCTTTTTGTCCACTACCCCCACAGTATCCATTATTTCAATGCTGTCACTTTCACAATATGCACGTAAAAATGAAATATTAATTCGTAATACCTTTTCACAGTAGCATAGCAAATGAATGTGTTTGGAACGCACACCCTCTCTTCCAACATAACCTCCCTGTGCTGCAATGCTACCAGTCACCATTTCGGCAAATATATGTACATGTATAGGTAAACTATACGACAAGCAATTACCTGACTGCCGTGCACCCCTACCTGTCGTAATGTGCCCGTAAATCGTTGGAGATGTCGTGCAGCCTGTCAGATTGGTAGATCTCGTGGGTATGTCTGGAACAGTTCTGCATGGCTGTGATCTCCCTGGGGGACATACACTGGGGAGACAGCTCAGGGCTTACCAGAACTACACGCAACATACATAAATATATGGATTAGTCTTATTAAATTTAATGGGTTAATTAATTAGTTAGTATGTACGTGATTGAATGAAAGGAGGACAGAATGAAAGAGCGACAAAACAAACTCGCAAATAACCAAACAAGTAAACGAAAAAATATTTTTCATGTAAAAATAATTGTTGATCTGTAATGGGATGCCGAATATTAAAGATCAATTTTCAAACTCATTGTGGTCTTTCAATGCTTGATATGATTAGTCTGAATTCTTATAACATATACTCAACACGCAATTCCCAAAATGAATCATTACAAAGAACCACCTACTTTGGGACCAACTGTGTGTATATCCGCATTAAAAATTAACGAGTCAGAAACAAACAAAAAATGCATCAAAAAATAACGTACACTTCCTGATCTCGGGCTTAATGGCGTCCCCCATGCAGGTTCTGTCGTAGAAGGCGTAGTGCGGGGAGGGTCCCAGTTTGTCCTGCCATGGGTAGATGAGGTAGGAACGGTTCCGGAGGAGATGGAGAGACCACTCTTCTGTACACTCGGGCACTGGTTTGACGGCGTACACACACAGGGCGGCAGCTCGCCAGCGGCTGGATACATTGTGAATAATAATTTTGAGAACATGAAATTTCATAGTCATACATGTATTAGATCTATTTAACAATACAGGGAAAGGGTAACAAACCCCTATTCGTGAATTACAAGTGAACCCACAATTCATAATTTTGAAGGCAGCAAATTTTGAATTTTAAAATCAAAACTAAAACCAATTAAGAGTAAGTCATCTAAACCGAAAATTGAAAATATATATATTAAGTAAACAAGATGTTAAGAGTTTCATGGGACATAATTTATGCACCTTCACAGTCTTCCATTAGAAGTGGCTCCCGACGGGTCACAGTGTAAACAGAAGTTTCCTTGTGGCGGTGTGTCAGTAGTTTCTTTCTAGCGGTGTATGTTGGTAAAAGTATCTGCACTCATAGTGTGCTTTTTTAATATTTTTTTTCATTCTACTTATTTTTCTATCATTTTATCATCATCATCATCATTATCATTATTATAATTATTTTCAGAAAAGAAACCCCAGACTTAAGGTTCGTAAAGGCGACAAAATGTTAAGAGGGCAATGGCTCACTTGGCCATTTTCATGTATTCAATATGCTATTTATTTTAGTAATATGAGAACGGAAACCTTCAACAACCCGGAGGATTACCATTGTATATTTTCCAGCAGTGAACGTTGCTAGGTCAGTTGAAAAAAAGCTGTAGGAAATACTAAAACATGTTCTAGGCTGCAATAAACCAGAGGCTAAATTTTGTGATCGTGAATCATTTAGAAGAGATTGACAATTGCTGACGTGGGAAAATATAGATTGCGTGTTAATTTCATTGAGTTATATGAAAATGATGTCCCTTCTGTTGCTGTGATCACATTTAGTAACTGTATTCTGACAAATGTTGTTTTGATAAGATAGGAGAATATTCTTCAAGAAATAACATGATTGAAATACTCGCTGCTTACATAAGTTTGGCATCTTGGGGTTATTTCGGGCAACACAGTTTTTTGTACATTTTCATTGAGCATTTTTGGAAAAAAAACGAAAAGATGGATACTCAATACTGAGAAATAAATTTCTATTACCTGCATATTTTGTCCCATTGGAAGAAATCTTGGAATTCCAGTTGGTTGGAAGGAGGTTTGTCGAAGGGGTACAGGTTGTGGTACCATTTGTCAAAGTTTCTTGCACAGCATGTGGTATCAGAGAGAAAGTAGGGGTCGTCCACCTCCAGGCGGCTGTGTCTGTCTATATCGATGTCTTCCCCACACCTACTGCCACGCCCGGGTCCAGGGGTAGTGCTGGGGTCGATCTCATCGAAGGCACCCCCTAGCCCTGGAATCAAAGTGCGTCTCAAATCAACGTTCTCCTTGTGTTTTGTAAATCAATAAAATTACTGCTTTTTACAATAGAGTGGCAGTGACATGTGGTTTTTAAGTTATTATCTTCTTTTTGTTTAACCGATTACTCCGCCTTGTGACTAATAATGTAACACATTCGATTTTATATATTTCAAATAAAGTCTTAGGAAAGATTCAGAGTGCTGCGTCGCTCAGTTTCTGTTGGAAAGTTCCGGACACTGTCTTACTTAACTCATGTCGTCTAGAAAAAAAAAAAACTAAAAAGCTTCGGCTGGAGCTTTAAAGGTATTTATTCTGTGTCAGGTTCATGAAACTCTATGGTTCTTTGGGAGCCGTTTTATGAGACGGACATAGTTTGAGGAGTTGTGAGATCCAGCAGAAAGAGTGCCTGTGTTTTACCTGAACAGCTATACATGTACTTGTCGCGGAAATCGGGGCTAACAGATCAGCTTTCCGGTCAGTTCGGGATAATCTGACGTCATGTGGCAACCTTATAAATTACATATCGCATTCGTTTTCTGTATTGATGCTGGAAATGCTGGAATGTTTAGAGGGGAGATAATGGCACTTTCCCTCTTCTTGCTTTCAGATCAAACGCTCAAGGGCAAGAGGTCACCTAGCCGCCGGACATACGGGTATGGTTGGCAACATTCCGTCATATAGAGCAGCATACATTACATTTTGATATACTGCGTAAAGTTCCTTTACTGGAGGTATAACAAGTTTCCCAGAGAAAGCTATTTGATCTACTTTCCTCGCATAGAGAGCTGAATTGATTTAGACATTAGGAAAAAGAGACCAAAGTCGGGTCGGGAACATGTAATTCTGCGTAAATACCACCATTTGTCATATTTAGTTTCCCTTCTTTAAAAAACCTGATAATACGACTAGACATTGGGGTGGTAAAACAAACAATTCATAAAAGATCGCCTTTAACGAAATTCATTGACGAAATATTCATGGTACATGTATCGTTTTAAGTTTGCTTAAAAACTGACCTTTCAGTTCCAGCAAAAAAAAAAGAATAAAAAATTGGCAGCTGCACCAAATGCAATCGTTGATGAGAATTCTACTGTCAGTTCGGAGCAACAGTTTTTTCTCAAAGTACAAATAACACTTTTTCTCGTGAATTTTCTCGAGTGTTTATTGACACTACACTTCCATAGTTAGCGAATACTGTCTACGAGTGCCTCGTTTGCACGTATAAGTGTAGAATTGAGGTATGTCACACGATAAAAGACTTCACAGTGACAAGTTACACCTCACACCAAGTCGCCATGTATTCTATAACTCTAAAATATTTTTTCTCCTGCTATTTCTTCATTTGCATTTTGTGAAAAACAAAAAAATAAAAAGTATTTCATCGAATACTTAAAATTCGCTTTCTTTCTTATTATTATATATGTATATCTGAAAACTCTTATCCAATCACTTTCACTAAAAAATACTACGCGTCTTGGAAGATAGATTATTAACTAATTCCATACATTTTCATCATTCTGCCTTGGTAATATCTACAAGTAAAATCTTAAACTGAGCAGAATAAAACATTCACAGTTGGTGGATACTACAGATAAAAGCAATGCGTGAGTTACTTTTCTGGATTGTCGAGAAGTTCCGGAGGTTGCGTGATGAATTAAATCATAACGACAAAAACTACGCTAAGTATAGTCCTTTTGCTAGATGCTCCTTGTGATAAAATGTATAAAGCGGAATAAGCAAAATAACACCGTACATCACACGCCCTCTCTAATCCCCGCAGACTTTATATAACTCTACACATCGCTTTCTGTTGTAAGACAATTAAATTGAAATATGAGCGTGCATTCAGTTAGAGATTGGAATTTTGTGCGAATTTTGGCGCGAAAAAGATTTTTTACAGGCACAATCAGCAGTTGACAAATTCAATATGCATTTGCCACCACTTATTTTCCTTGGCTTTACTTATACGCTTGGTTTTAGCCGAGTGAACTGTTACAATCATTTCTATCAGATTTATTTTGATTAAAAGTAAATTGTTTGAGCAGTGGCATTTTCATTAATACTTAGAAAAACGATATGTTTTGTTAGACATAAGCGCATGTTATTCATAATGAAAATTGGAAGTCTTAAGGTAACCAAAGTTCACAAACGGTGACTTTAAAATTGGTATCCAATACGAGTATACATATGGACCCTAAATTTACATAAATTAACAGGATGGCATTTGTCTATTGATTTTTCATTATGTGCATTTTTGCAGCTGATTTATTGCAAACCATGCTAAGATAAGCCTATCCCTTACTCTTAATTTTATCGATAACTCGGTTGCGGGCTATGCGGGCAAAGTAAAGCAAAAAGAGAAGAAAACTCCTTTCTCTCCACCTAGACTTTTTTCTATGCTAATTAGCTATGTTAATCACATGAAGTTTGTTACGTTTTTTTTTCTCAGTCATAAGTGGTTGACCTAAGGCTTTATTTTGGTTGTATTTCCTCGTATAATTACTATATTGTCAGGTTCAGGTAACAGTAGTGGCAGTGGTCTGTGGTAAACCTGAGACCACACACGTCCCGTGCCTATTTATTTTGCTGCATGGTTTATAACATTATGAAGAAATATCACTTTCAAATTATCGATATTGTGGCAAACTGGCGAGTGGCATCAATAGTTCACTGGCCTAATATAGGATTGCTAGTAATACCTTGCCAAATGGGGATATTGACCAAGTTAAGAAATACGCATTTCGTGGAGAATGTACCGGTATCAAAAAATATTGTAGACAGTAGTCTACATGAGTCTAAATACACTATGTACTGTTTTGCCTGATGTTTCAAACGCGATCTATTGCTTGCTCTCTCTTATCGTTTATATGCCAGTTTTAGTACGCATTAACACCGTACGTATCTATCTCCTGTTTACCTGTACATCCTAATCAGCAGCAGAAAAAAAAGAAAGCCCTACCTTGATCTACATTTAAAACGAGCAGCGCTATACAGCACATGAAGAGATTCAAATCCGCCATCTTCTCTCTAGCTTGTCGTCTGCTGAATTGGGATAATGCCTCAGTTTGAGCCACAAGAAAACCTCCCACAATCAAAGATGCCCCTCAGGTGGGCATGTCGGTAGGATCGTAATCAGAATAGCTCCCACGTCTGCTCTGCTGGCTGTTACAAGGTCTGATGCAGCGTTGTGGTATGTCCGTCGGTGTATTATGTTCTCCCCCAAACAAGCCGGCTATCCTATGACTCAGAAACGACCTTTCTCTCAGAGGGGAGGGCCTGGGTCAAGCCGGGGACTTTTTATGTTTTGATATTCATAAATGTGGTTTGACTTTAAAAAGAAACAAAGGTGAAAGAAACGTGTTCAAAAGCGATTTAACAAAAGGAGGACATGAATTATTCCATTTAATGGCCCAACGAGATGTGACTAGAATAGGATAATAAACAAATGTCTGTCACAACGTTTTTTATAAAGCAGCGACGCTGGGTACTTTTTTCTATAAATGATATTAATATTCCATTTTTTTTCTTTACAATTCAAGGTGTTGTGGGGAGGGGGGGGAATAATACGTGCTTAAAGATATAAAGGGTAAACGATGTCTTGGCGACTGAAATGGATAAGAGTAAAAGTATGAAGTGATAAGAGGTCCTCCTCATTTAGCTCTGAAAAAAGCCCAGATAAGAGGCATTTGGTTAACATTATAGTCGTTACCAATTATTTCAAATGGTTGGGTTTCCCCCGAAGGCTGTGCACAAATATTACTTTACCCTTCCAGATGGTTTTTAACTTAGCCAGAGCAGAAAAAGCGCATTCAAATGGAATCTTCATACGGCCATTTCAAACAGCTCGTAGGCGTTTTGTTCGCAAGTGCACTTTCGAACAATTCGGTATTTTTTTACCACTTTGCGCTTCAAAATAAAAAAAAGAAGTTTGTTCTGCACTTCCAAGTTTTCGCAGATGACTTTTATTTCTCACCCTTCAGGGCAGCCCAATTACCCAAGAAAAAAATGAAGATTTTAATTGATAAGTAAACGAGGTCTTTATTGAAATTCATAACAGCATTGGTCTCGGTGAGTCAAAATTCATTCTGAAAAATACTTTCACATTAAAAGTCGATTCTACAGGTGTCAACAAATGACTCAATGATTAACCTCAGAACCTTAATTTTCATTATATTCAAACACAATCGTTAATCTGGGAATAAACCGACGTTTGTAGACAGGATTTTTTCCATAAGATTTTAATTGATAAGTAAACGAGGCCTTTATTGAAATTCATAACAGCATAGGTCTCGGTGAGTCAAACTTTATTCTCAAAAATACTTTCACATTAAAAGTCAATTCTACAGGTGTCAACAAATGACTCATTGTCACAGAGTTCAGACGACTGGGTTCTTCTTCAAACAATTTACATCTTTACTTTGGAATTGTTCCAAATGATTCATCAGTACAAGGAACTATAAAAAAACACAAAGTTGCTGGATTGACATCAACTTTTATCACCTTTGGTAGATATGCATAACAGCTGGTAACCTTCCAGTCGCAGGTATAAAGACTATGTGGAGCTGGGCTGACTGATGACGTCACATGACGGCATCTAATTAAACTCCTCCCACTCACATTTCTATCAAAACCTAAATTTTCGTTATATTCAAACTAAATCGTTAACCCGGGAATAAACCGACGTTTGTAGACAGGATTTTTCCGTAATCAAAACCCCAACAAGATTTAAGATGAGACAAACATCACGTCACCGTAAAAATACTTTGGAAATGTTCCAGTGTTTCTCTTTCGTTATTTCCTTAAGTTAGTGCTCACTTCACACTGCTCAATCAGTGGAATGAAAACCCTCAATTAAACTTGCATCACTGCATGTAGCAATGCAGCCTGGCGGAATACCAGCCGTGTAACCGTCTAGACCGTGTGTCTGGCATGTCTGTTGGCTAAGATAACTACAAGTCCTACTATACAATATACTGCAACAAGACTAGGACTTAACTGGAGGTTAATTAATTTTTTATAACCTGCATAATAATGCCCCTTCGCACTACACCTTGCATGTGGCCGTCACTACTGTGTAATAAAGGTCACGTCCCCGTCTGCTACTGTTAGTTTTAATGACTTATATTACACATATTAAATTCATCTCGACTCCTGCACAATAGACATGGCACTACCATATGATGTAGACATCACTGGTCTGAATACCTCCCAGCAGTGGCGTACCATTTGGATCTGATCTTCATATTGGCTGACTGCACTGTACTCAGTTGAGTTTATACAACTTCAGACAAACTAGTTTTATATTACGCTTATTACAAGAACCGGCGTGTTTTCGCTTGAATTGTCAGGATGTAACAACTTGCGACAGGGAACAAGCTGTCACAATTGAAACATTTGATGTTAATATGCTCAGTCACATCACCCCATGTCTCAGGCAGCTTTCCTGCCAACCTTTCGTGGATCATGCTCCTTGCACTAGCACAGCAGTTTTTAAAGAAATACACTTCCTGAAAGACTTGCTACTGCCATCTCGACAAGGAACTGGGCTGATTGATATTTTTTTCCACTTTTTTTAAAGAAAGAATTTCTCCATCTTAGTTTCCAATCCAGTGTTATGAGACCATCATCCTGGGTGATATACTCATAGCCATAAGTTCCTGGAACAGCAGCTTGCAGGCATACGGCATGCGTAACTGGGAGATCTGGAAGAAAAGCGAAAATCATATTTATTTCTATCATTTGGCTAGGAGAGCATTATAAAACTACTACATATCTATATATTATTCACTTTACTCATAGTCATTTTAGTTCATAGTCATTTTGAAAACATTTTCCCAGTCTAAGCTGGATATTGCACACTTTCAAAAGGGATTGAACATATATTTTTAAGTATAGCATATACCTCCTAAGGTAAATGTAATCATTATTTACCTGTGNAATAATACGTGCTTAAAGATATAAAGGGTAAACGATGTCTTAGCGACTGAAATGGATAAGAGTAAAAATATGAAGTGATAAGAGGTCCTCCTCATTTAGCTCTGAAAAAAGCCCAGATAAGAGGCATTTGGTTAACATTATAGTCGTTACCAATTATTTCAAATGGTTGGGTTTCCCCCGAAGGCTGTGCACAAATATTACTTTACCCTTCCAGATGGTTTTTAACTTAGCCAGAGCAGAAAAAGCGCATTCAAATGGAATCTTCATACGGTCATTTCAAACAACTCGTAGGCGTTTTGTTCGCAAGTGCACTTTCGAACAATTCGGTATTTTTTACCACTTTGCGCTTCAAAATAAAAAAGAAGTTTGTTCTGCACTTCCAAGTTTTCGCAGATGACTTTTATTTCGCACCCTTCAGGGCAGCCCAATTACCCAAGAAAAAATTTAAGATTTTAATTGATAAGTAAACGAGGTCTTTATTGAAATTCATAACAGCATTGGTCTCGGTGAGTCAAACTTTATTCTCAAAAATACTTTCACATTAAAAGTCAATTCTACAGGTGTCAACAAATGACTCATTGTCACAGAGTTCAGACGACTGGGTTCTTCTTCAAACAATTTACATCTTTGCTTTGGAATTGTTCCAAATGATTCATCAGTACAAGGAACTATAAAAAAACACAAAGTTGCTGGATTGACATCAACTTTTATCACCTTTGGTAGATATGCATAACAGCTGGTAACCTTCCAGTCGCAGGTATAAAGACTATGTGGAGCGCGGCTGACTGATGACGTCACATGACGGTATCTAATTAAACTCCTCCCACTCACATTTCTATCAAACCTAAATTTTCGTTATATTCAAACTAAATCGTTAACCCGGGAATAAACCGACGTTTGTAGACAGGATTTTTCCGTAATCAAAAGCCCAACAAGATTTAAGATGAGACAAACATCACGTCACCGTAAAAATACTTTGGAAATGTTCCAGTGTTTCTCTTTCGTTATTTCCTCAAAATGGTAAAGTTAGTGCTCACTTCACACTGCTCAATCAGTGGAATGAAAACCCTCAATTAAACTTGCATCACTGCATGTAGCAATGCAGCCTGGCGGAATACCAGCCGTGTAACCGTCTAGACCGTGTGTCTGGCATGTCTGTTGGCTAAGATGACTACAAGTCCTACTATACAATATACTGCAACAAGACTAGGACTTAAATGGAGGTTAATTAATTTTTTATAACCTGCATAATAATGCCCCTTCGCACTACACCTTGCATGTGGACGTCACTACTGTGTAATAAAGGTCACGTCCCCGTCTGCTACTGTTAGTTTTAATGACTTATATTACACATATTAAATATTCATCTTGACTCCTGCACAATACACATGGCACTACCATATGATGTAGACATCACTGGTCTGAATACCTCCCAGCAGTGGCGTACCATTTGGATCTGATCTTCATATTGGCTGACTGCACTGTACTCAGTTGAGTTTATACAACTTCAGACAAACTAGTTTTATATTACGCTTATTACAAGAACCGGCGTGTTTTCGCTTGAATTGTCAGGATGTAACAACTTGCGACAGGGAACAAGCTGTCACAATTGAAACATTTGATGTTAATATGTTCAGTCACATCACCCCATGTCTCAGGCAGCTTTCCTGCCAACCTTTTGTGGAACATGCTCCTTGCACTAGCACAGCAGTTTTTAAAGAAATACACTTCCTGAAAGACTTGCTACTGCCATCTCGACAAGGAACTGGGCTGATTGATATTTTTTTCCACTTTTTTTAAAGAAAGAATTTCTCCATCTTAGTTTCCAATCCAGTGTTATGAGACCATCATCCTGGGTGATATACTCATAGCCATAAGTTCCTGGAACAGCAGCTTGCAGGCATACGGCATGCGTAACTGGGAGATCTGGAAGAAAAGCGAAAATCATATTTATTTCTATCATTTGGCTAGGAGAGCATTATAAAACTACTACATATCTATATATTATTCACTTTACTCATAGTCATTTTAGTTCATAGTCATTTTGAAAACATTTTCCCAGTCTAAGCTGGATATTGCACACTTTCAAAAGGGATTGAACATTTATTTTTAAGTATAGCATATACCTCCTAAGGTAAACGTAATCATTATTTACCTGCGTCTTATTCTTGCAGCCCTTGCACTCAAAGGTGTTGTTCCTCAGGTTGGCAATGGCAATGAGGCCACAAAGGTTGCACACATGAACTCTGTATGGATCAGACGCCTCAAACAAACGCTCCCGCAGGAACTGAGCCGCGCCATGGGCAATCTGACAATCACGCTCCATTTCACCAAAACGTAGACCACCATCACTGGAAAGGCAAACAGTTAATCAAATCTCTGCTTAATTGAAATTTAATATGAAACAAGCCCTCTGTACAACTGTAGATTTTTCCAATTTCCAAAACAATTCTTCAAATTTCTGTTTAATCAAAAACAAACTCATATAACCCTTGTGCACAATTATAGGTTGTCAAATCTTATAACTTGTAAGAATATGAAAATTTTAAGAAGGAAAATAAAGTCAATATATTAGCCATATTCACAAACAGCTTTGTTTTTCCTGGAAAACCCCTCTGTCTGTTGAACGTACCGTGACCTGCCCTCCATAGGCTGTCTGTTGAGGATTTGGAGGGGTCCTCTAGCTCTGGAGTGGATCTTGTCATCCACCATATGCTTCAGACGCTGGTAGTAGGTGGGGCCCACAAATATCTGGGAGTTCATCTTACGCCCTGTGTGACCATTATACAGCACCTATAACAAAGTATAAACTCTCTTTAAAATGTGTAAAATAAGAACATTTTCAAAAGATGTTTTAGGATGATAAAGTTTTAATAAGTGAACACAGACAATAAGTTTCTCAACATATTTGCTATAAATCTGGCTAGCAAATTTGAACTTGAATATGTACACGTATGTACCTCATTTCCACGCAGGTGGTAGCCATACTCGTGCAACAGGTTTGAGATCTTCTGTACATTGACAGTGTCATTGAATGGGGTGGCATCACCTATCTCCCCCTTGTTGGCTGAAACTTTCCCCTGGAGACACTCAATTAAATGCCCAATGGTCATCCTACTGGGGACAGCATGGGGGTTGATGATGATGTCAGGGGTGATCCCTTCACATGTGAATGGCATGTCCTTCAAAATAAAATTAAAAATACCAATTCATAATGTGAAATAGAAGTAACTATCTACAAACAAGTATTCTCTTCTCTGAAAATTCATAATACTAGGTTCCTGTTGACAGATACTTTATTTATTGTAAGCAAGCAGAAGAAAAAATGTGAGGAAACCACAATATCAGCATATCTAGCCATAAGAGCGTGTGCGTGGGAGTGCTTGCATGTTTATATTTACACATATTGGTAGTGCATTTGTTTGCCCAAAAAGATATGACTGACCTCAAATCCAAGTGAATAAAGTTTAATAATACTCCAAAAACAACCAAGACACACCAGTAACACAATCAAAGTCTCCACCTTCACAATAGCAAGCAGCACACATGTTAACAATCTCAGATTTCTCAACTAACACATTCTCCTCACCTCCTGCCTGTATCTGATTCCACATGTTCCCTTCTGCCCGTGACGACTGGCAAACTTGTCACCAATCTGTGGGATCTTCACTGTTCTCACACGGATCTTACAGAACTTGTAACCTTCCTGGTTTATAGTGACCATCACCTGGAAGGAGCAAACAATACACAGGAATGAATCTTGGTACTCCCTGTGGACAACAAACCCTTGCTTTAGACATTTTTTATACAAGTTCAGAATTCAGCTATTTACTAGGCAAGATTTAAGTGATCAATATTCACTGAGTTACAAGCATCAAATAAGTTGCAGCCATTGAATAAATTATCAAACAAATCATTTTAAAAATTATAAGCAAGTTTACAAAGACAAAAATAAAAGTTAATGGTTGTCTGCTTAAATGGAAAAGATAGGAAGAAAATATACAGAGAAGCACATTCCCTTCTCCAGCAGCAATTTCTGTAGCATTCAGCCCTTCAACGAAGACCCATGACAACAGAGACTTCGGTACACAAAGAATGCCAGTTTTCATTTTCCAAACATTTAAGAAGTAAGAAGTAAATGTAAAGGGGGGAAATACCTGGTCAATGATACCATATTCACTCCTCCTCATAAATACACTGGAGTCTCTCTTGGTGAACCTCTTTGTAGTCTTCTCAAGCTGCAAACAACAGTATGAATACAAAATAACTTCAAGACTGAAAAATCTTATAACAAAATAAAATTGAGATTCACATTCTGCACATATTTTATAGTGTAAGTGATGCCACATTTGAGCCAAGAAATACAACAGAAAATAACTCAAAGACAAGATAAGGATAACGTAATTCTCACCTCATCCTCTGTATCCGGTAAAGTGATAGTCTTTCCAATGAGGACATCATCTCCAGACACTCTGATCCCCGGGGCGATGATACCATCATCATCTAGCTTATCATAGATGGCATGACGCATACCTGCAAACACACACATATATATATATAGGCAAACATTATAACCTCTTGTTAAACAGAGTAATAGAAAACATTTGGTACAGTCTGTGCATTCAAAAAGTTTTGGCCTACTGGCCCTTAGAGACAACAGGGACCAATAATCTGCTGGCTTAAAGAACATACATAGGACAATTACAGAACAAATTCACAAAATTTCACTGGTCAAGTTTTCATTCACTGCCATTTTGCTAGGGGCCAATGTTAATGCTGCAGATTTTTGCAAACATTTTTGGTAACTCTTCAGAAGCTGTGTTATTGTAATCATAACTAAAGCCTCCCTTACCTTGCACAGTCCTTGGATCAGGTTTCTCAAACACCTCCTCCTGGTCCAGACCCTTCTTGGATTCCTGGTCCTTGTAGGCACGGTAGAATACAGATCTGCAGAGAAAAGAGGTGACATATCAGCCTTGATTTTTAATACAACAACTGTATTATGTGGGGAATGAATTTATACTGAAAATTATTAATTAGGTTGCAGATGGTGATAATCTAAGCTTTAGGAAATATTAGATGTCATGGCAGTTGACAGCAATGACCTAGTATGCAAGATTGGCAATATCAAACATCATAAAAAGTTGTACACTTGAAATACAAACATTTTCTTTTCTTTACAAATGACACACCATATAGTCCCTTACCTGAAGAATCCCCTGTCTATGGCAGATTCATTCAAAATGACAGAATCTTCCTGGTTATATCCAGTATATGACGCAATGGCTACTATGGAATTGATACCTGTAACATAGAGTAATTAACACTTATGTGCCTTTTGGGTAGATTCCGAAAATGCATACGTCATGTGTGAAAAAAAAAGAGTCAATTATGCATTAGCATAGTTTATGAGTTATATAAAATCAAAAATACATCTACAATTCATTCGTTATCTGTAATTTCAAGNGTACGTTTTTCATTGACCTGTAGTTGTTTCAGTTTCGATACATTTTTTTGTGAAACGGGTCACATGTCAGCCCTCACACCATCGCTACGCACACTTCAAGCGACATCATAATGTACGTAGACCTTTATTACAAAACGCGCCAGTATGGCGCAAGTTAAAGTTTTACTTGCGAATAGTGCGTACTTAGAGCTTTACGATAAATTCAAATATGAGGCGAGGTGTCTGTTAAAGAAACTGACTTTAGTCCGTCGGACATGTGGGCCGATGAGTTAAAAGGGTTTTCCAGCCCACAGAACTTTTGCCGGCATATGGCCGTGGTCCGACGGCTTTCGCAATCACTGCAGTGTATGTTAAACAATCAATTACCTGCAGGTAACTCCCTAAAGCGCAGGTACTCCATAGACCTGGTGGTGACTAGAGGTTTCTGTGGGTAGTAGAGCACATTGGCCAATGTGTCCATCCTGACGTGGAAGTTGGTGATGTACACACCCATGGCTTGTTTACCCATAGCAGACTGGTATGTGTTACGGGGGGACTGGAAGGAAGAATATAGCTCTAAGAACTTGGGTGTTCTGAATGACATCAAATTGAATAAGCCAATTTCAACGGTTAAGTATACAATACCACATTCAGCATAATTTTTTTTATAATTCACTGATTAAAAACTAAATCATTGTCTGTTACCAGAAAGGTATAAGAAATGAACAAGTATGCATCCCTTCAGCAAGCAGCCATAATATCTGGGTCTTTGGTATGTGAAGTGTACAACGTACAAATTTAGTATTCCTCAGTTAAACACTCCCACAATGTGATATGTATTACTAACATGCTCTTACCTGGTTGTGATCAGGGAAGGGAATAATTGAGGCACACACCCCCAGGATCATAGATGGATGGACCTCACAATGAGTATATGTAGAACAATATCCCTGTCCCTTCTCATGGAGATCATCAGGGTACATAGCACACATGATGGTTTCTTCCTCCATAGTGTCTATGTACTCAACCACACCACTGGCTACCAGGTCCTGCCAACTGGAATGCAGCAAATATTTCAAAATACAGCTTTAGATTTTCAAAATTCTTCATGAGAACAATTATAAAATATCTCACATTCACATTCACCAGCAGGTTACCAAAATGCATAGAAATTTATAAAGTTTTCTGAAAACTGGTTTCAAACAAATTGTGAAACACTGAAAGATTATTGTTTAAGTTGTTCAAAAGCTGTTCTTACTGATACTTTGCCAACAAAGAGAGATTATACCTGTAGTTGTTGTATTCTCTCTCCTTGAGCAAGTCAATGTGTCTCTTCTTCAGCAACAACTTCTGGTTCTCCACAATAAGCAGTGGCCTACACACTCGGCCAGCATCTGTATAGATCTTCAGCTCACGCTCACGGATGTCACGCACCATAGATACCTAAAATTTATTGTAAAATTCATAACATTAACACCATCAGTATGTGGCCAAGGGCAAGCAAGGTTTTTCTTTTCTTTTATCAGCTTTTCTTAACTTAAATGTCACAAATAATTTACTTAATTAACAAATTATTACTTATAAATGGCAGGATTTCATTCTTAAAAATTATATCACTGCCATGACAACAATGTGTGTATGTACCAGTAACTCAGTAAGATGTGATAAATAAAGACACACTTTCCAAGTACTGTGACACTTCTCTCTAGCATTCCCCACTTCAGCAAAAACCTACAGATCCAAGGTCTCAGATACGCAGGAATGCACAGTCAACTCATAAGGTATCACACATTCAATAGCCCACATTAAGGAAGCATCTAGTCTTATTAATGGGCAGTGTGTGTGTGTGTGTGGGGGGGTATATTCTGTACAAATACACCCCCACTCACGATGTAAAAAGGTCACTGACCTCAGACACAATGATGTCCATCTGTCTCCTCAGTTTCTTCAATGTAACCATCAGCTGCTCTGGATCTCTGTGGATTCCTACCCAGCAGCCATTCACAAAGATTTTGGTGGCACTACAAACAAAGAAGACATGTTTATCAGGGAGGAAAGGTTTCCCATCCTTCAGGCATCCTTTATATAAACATTTAGAACCAAATAACATAAGATGAATAAAACTACCAATTTTCAGGATTGAGTTATTGCCTCCGTGTTTTGAAAACAACTGGAGAATCGGTATTTAATGAAATCAATCATAGATGTATGTAACAGCAGGGGAAATGTACACAAATGCACACCTCTGATGGTAAATACTGTCACAATTTCTGTAGCATTCAGCCCTTCAACGAAGACCCATGACAACAAAGTCTTCGGTACACAAAGAATGCTAAACTAATGACATCATCCATAGATAATTTATTATCAAGTCAAAATTTCTCTTTCAAAATGCAAAACTGTGTGTCACAGGTGAGGTGTACGGAAACAAAGATATCAGTTTTAAAGGAGTAAAGGGTCACACACTACTTACTCGGCAATGGCTGAAGGTGCAATCTCCTCCAGGTTCTCCATACTCCACTCCTCCAAGAATTCCAGGATGGGGGAGGGCTGGGAGCCTACAGAGATATAGGCCATCAGCGCCAGGTTCTTCACCAAGCCTACAGCGGCTCCCTGGACAATGGAAAGATCAATGTAAGACATGAAAAGTTTAACCAGGTGTGTTTAAATTCACCAACCTCAAATGCACAAGGAGAGGCAGTGTTGTTGATACTTTCAAGAACATTAGAGGAGACATATTAATTCCTTTAATGAACAATCCCATTCCTCAGCTGATCTGACTCACTTTGTCCCTCTNCATAATTTTTTTTATAATTCACTGATTAAAAACTAAATCATTGTCTGTTACCAGAAAGGTATAAGAAATGAACAAGTATGCATCCCTTCAGCAAGCAGCCATAATATCTGGGTCTTTGGTATGTGAAGTGTACAACGTACAAATTTAGTATTCCTCAGTTAAACACTCCCACAATGTGATATGTATTACTAACATGCTCTTACCTGGTTGTGATCAGGGAAGGGAATAATTGAGGCACACACCCCCAGGATCATAGATGGATGGACCTCACAATGAGTATATGTAGAACAATATCCCTGTCCCTTCTCATGGAGATCATCAGGGTACATAGCACACATGATGGTTTCTTCCTCCATAGTGTCTATGTACTCAACCACACCACTGGCTACCAGGTCCTGCCAACTGGAATGCAGCAAATATTTCAAAATACAGCTTTAGATTTTCAAAATTCTTCATGAGAACAATTATAAAATATCTCACATTCACATTCACCAGCAGGTTACCAAAATGCATAGAAATTTATAAAGTTTTCTGAAAACTGGTTTCAAACAAATTGTGAAACACTGAAAGATTATTGTTTAAGTTGTTCAAAAGCTGTTCTTACTGATACTTTGCCAACAAAGAGAGATTATACCTGTAGTTGTTGTATTCTCTCTCCTTGAGCAAGTCAATGTGTCTCTTCTTCAGCAACAACTTCTGGTTCTCCACAATAAGCAGTGGCCTACACACTCGGCCAGCATCTGTATAGATCTTCAGCTCACGCTCACGGATGTCACGCACCATAGATACCTAAAATTTATTGTAAAATTCATAACATTAACACCATCAGTATGTGGCCAAGGGCAAGCAAGGTTTTTCTTTTCTTTTATCAGCTTTTCTTAACTTAAATGTCACAAATAATTTACTTAATTAACAAATTATTACTTATAAATGGCAGGATTTCATTCTTAAAAATTATATCACTGCCATGACAACAATGTGTGTATGTACCAGTAACTCAGTAAGATGTGATAAATAAAGACACACTTTCCAAGTACTGTGACACTTCTCTCTAGCATTCCCCACTTCAGCAAAAACCTACAGATCCAAGGTCTCAGATACGCAGGAATGCACAGTCAACTCGTAAGGTATCACACATTCAATAGCCCACATTAAGGAAGCATCTAGTCTTATTAATGGGCAGTGTGTGTGTGGGTATATTCTGTACAAATACACCCCCACTCACGATGTAAAAAGGTCACTGACCTCAGACACAATGATGTCCATCTGTCTCCTCAGTTTCTTCAATGTAACCATCAGCTGCTCTGGATCTCTGTGGATTCCTACCCAGCAGCCATTCACAAAGATTTTGGTGGCACTACAAACAAAGAAGACATGTTTATCAGGGAGGAAAGGTTTCCCATCCTTCAGGCATCCTTTATATAAACATTTAGAACCAAATAACATAAGATGAATAAAACTACCAATTTTCAGGATTGAGTTATTGCCTCCGTGTTTTGAAAACAACTGGAGAATCGGTATTTAATGAAATCAATCATAGATGTATGTAACAGCAGGGGAAATGTACACAAATGCACACCTCTGATGGTAAATACTGTCACAATTTCTGTAGCATTCAGCCCTTCAACGAAGACCCATGACAACAAAGTCTTCGGTACACAAAGAATGCTAAACTAATGACATCATCCATAGATAATTTATTATCAAGTCAAAATTTCTCTTTCAAAATGCAAAACTGTGTGTCACAGGTGAGGTGTACGGAAACAAAGATATCAGTTTTAAAGGAGTAAAGGGTCACACACTACTTACTCGGCAATGGCTGAAGGTGCAATCTCCTCCAAGTTCTCCATACTCCACTCCTCCAAGAATTCCAGGATGGGGGAGGGCTGGGAGCCTACAGAGATATAGGCCATCAGCGCCAGGTTCTTCACCAAGCCTACAGCGGCTCCCTGGACAATGGAAAGATCAGTATAAGACATGAAAAGTTTAACCAGGTGTGTTTAAATTCACCAACCTCAAATGCACAAGGAGAGGCAGTGTTGTTGATACTTTCAAGAACATTAGAGGAGACATATTAATTCCTTTAATGAACAATCCCATTCCTCAGCTGATCTGACTCACTTTGTCCCTCTACACACCAGACATGAGCCTAGGTTTCAAAAAAACTCTGAATGTTTATCATGGGACCCAACACCTAACCAGCCAGGGGTCCAGGGGCTGAATTTCAGGAACCATCAGAACTGAATTAAAAAACGCACATTTACATGGAAGAAGAAGCTCATGTCTGAACCACTCACCTCTGGTGTCTCAGCAGGGCAGATCATTCCCCAGTGAGAGTTGTGGAGCTGGCGAGGTCTGGCCAACTTCCCGTCTCTCCCTATAGGAGAGTTCAGTCTTCTCAAGTGAGACAGGGTGGAGGCAAAGGTCAGCCTGTTCAACACCTGAAGAAAATAGGGGGATATTCAGGGTTGTAAAATATTTTGATGACAGAATAAAGCTGCAAGTAGAGAGAAATGTGTAACCGAGACTGAGCATACACATAATTTTATTAATCAACAGGCAACATTTTGTCTCTAACATGTAGTTAATTTGATTTTAATCTGAAAAACATATTGAAAGAAATTTTTTCAGTAGTCTATCCAACTACCATGATTTGGGGTTTAGGAAAAAAGAAGGAAGAAAAGGGGTCTGGAGAAGTAAGGTGGAAAACTGCAAAGAAAAAATTTGGACTTTCATTGGATGAAATAAAAAACATGTCTGACCTACTCAACTGAGGAAAGATGGTTAGGAAAAATAAATTGAAATACAAACTTAATAAAATAAAATAAAAGTGAAGTCTTAGTACCTGTGACACCCCAGCCCTGGCCTGGTGGGCCTTCTTCTGGTCCCCCCAGTTCCCCGTGGCCAGGGAGTACTTGAGGCCATCTGTGATGATCCTTGTCTTGATGGCCAGCTCCAGGTTGAAATCCTTGCCACGGTCAATGAACTTCTGGGCATACATCCTTACTTCCTTCATTAGATTGCGGAACAACCTAGAACATGTATAAGTATCAAGATTGCAGAACTACCTCAGTCTTGGAAAATTTAAAAGAAATTAAATACTCCTGCTTACAACCAAAACTTTAAGATCAACTATGAAGTAATAAAGAAAAAAAAAAACTTACCCTCTGAACAAAAATGCAAGCAAGGGTCCTGCCAAATCTAATCTTTTGTTGCCATAGTGATCTCTGTCATCCACCTCTCTACGACCAATGGCAGCAAGAAGCAAACGGTGAACCATGTATCTGAAAGAAGTTGAGAATAATTAATGGCAATCCAGTCTCAGTTTTTAAAAGTCTAATTACCTCTCAAAAGGAGAGAAAATCCAGTCTAAAAAACCCTAGAAATTTAACTTGTCACATCTGTCAAACCTATTAACGAGTGACAGAACCGGTTTGACCGTGGACATTCTTACCCCAGAAAATAGGCCTTTTTGGTCTCACAGAAGTCACTAACACCAACATGAGGCAGCATTTCCTTCTGCAGAATCTCCCTGGCATATTTGATTCTCTTTTCTTTAGTTACCCCAGGCCTGGCTCCTCTAGCTCCTATGAAATTGAGAGCTACATTCTGTTCCTGTATCACAAAAGCCTCATCCAGGGACGGCTTGACCTGAAACCATTATATAACATATAACACTTGTACAAATATACACTATCTGATTTTTAAATTTATTTCAAACATATCTGTAGTCTCAGACCCATAATAACACAACACAATCTTATTGCTTGCCAATGTAGTGTATTTGTATCAATCAATTCAGCCTTCAGTGAAAAATTATAATAAAGCAATACCATATATTAAGTTGTGTAGAATGAAATTTTATATGCATTGCATATAAATAAGTTCAAATACTTTTTGTTATTACAATCAACTGTTTACAGAATGTGCACACAATCAAATGTTGAACCCATGTCATTCTTACCATCTCCATCATCTCTGGGTCATCAAAGTCATAGATGATGTGTTCTAGGATGTCTCTGTCTGACACAAATCCCAGGGCTCGGAACACTATTATAATGGGGATCTCCTGCCTGATATAGGGGAGGATGGCAATGATCCTTTGGCCAATTGCACTTTTGCGGGCACCCTACACAGAATATAAAATGAAATAATTAAAGATGATAACACACACTCATTTAAAGGTAAGTGTGAAAAATGACTTAACCATTGCTTTAACTATCCACAATCCCCAGATATCTAGTTTTAAAATAATTGTTAGAAGAAAAGGCATATCCTACAATGTACTTACCTGTCCTCCTCTGGCCAGCATGTTCACCCACAATGTACTGGTAGGTCTGGAGGAATGTTCAAGACACGAACGGATCTCTGTTTTATAGGCATACTTGGAGTCCTTCTGCTGGAACACATACACTGGAAGAGAAAACTGCTCTTAGGACTAATCCATGTTTATGAAACAATTTAGCAGTATATTGATTAAAATAGGGCACTGATGAAGCAATGATAATTACAATCCAAAATCTGCACTCACCAGTATTCGTGGCCATTTTTTCCTGGGCTATGAGCACCTTTTCTGAGCCGTTGATGATAAAATAACCCCCAGGATCCAAAGGGCACTCGTTTAACTCTGTCAGATCTCTGTCAGTGAGTCCATTCAACAGACAGTAGGTGGATCTTAACATGATGGGGATCTTGCCAATGAAAGTCTTTTGATGTTGAGTTTCTATGGGGTCCTCTCCCTCCTTCACCACAGTTTTGGTAATATCAACATACAGTGGGGCAGAGTACCTGTTAATAAGAGAGAAATGTTGTAAACTGTAACTCTGTATACTAAGTCATAAGTGAAATTTGTGAATATTGTTGAAATCAGTTGAATCAGTGTAGGGGGGATGCTTTGCACATAATCAGCATGCTGAACTGTTCACATCCAGGATTACAAAGAGTTGGCAAAGATAATACATGATTCAATCTATCGTTTTATTTGGTTTCTTTGCAGAGTAAATATAGTACTAACGTTAGATTTCTCAGCCTAGCCTCGTTGGGCATCATGGGGCTGGGGGCACCATCTTTCTCCCAGTGGGTAGGCTTGGACAGGTAGATCTGTTCAAATTTCAGCAAATAGCGAGGTGGTGTCTCCACAACCCCAGATGTATGCTGTGCCTCTGCCTGGAGGTCTATCTGTGGGGAATCCTCCACAATTCTCTGGACAGACATCTGAATGAACTCGTCAAAGGAGTCCAGTTGCTGCCTCACCAAGCCCTTCTCATCAAAGTAGGAACTGATGACGATCCAAGCAGCTTCCTGCCACAAGTCTGAAGTGATGTCATCCCCATCATCTTCATCAAACATTTCTGAAATTGGTTAAGTGGATCACCTTACTATCTATCTGTTACAGGCTTGGTGATAATCTTTAGTTTAATGAAATAACTTTACACCCCATTCCTCCTCAAACCCTAGGCTGGGGTAGCGCTTACAACCGCCAATTTAGCCAAATGCTAAAACTTACATAAATTGGCTAAAGAAAAAGGGCTTGATTTGACATGTTTTAGCCAAATTATAATCATTTTGATAACAAATTGACAAAAATGTGGTGATTTGGCTAAGTGAAAAAATTGCTAGCGCTACCCCAGCTAGGGTTACTCTCACGTTCAAACTGGTTATAGATCTTATCATGGTTTCCACAAAATAGTGCTGAATATTATCATGGACGCACCCATTCGTTTTTTTTTTTTTTTTTTTTTTTTTTAAGTCTTAACTCTGACACTTTGTCACAGAGACTGGTTTTGCGTTTTGATTGTCGATAGCCGGTAGAGCTTAGATAGGTAAACAATGGTCGATTTTGAGTACTTTCTTACCCTCATCTTGGTCATACATGGTGTTTTCTTATTGAAAAACAACCCAGACGTCGATAAGACAGAGAAAATGACTTGATGCAAACTGAGTTCAGTAGATTGCCTCCGATTTCGCAGAGCAAAGCAATTTACGTGATAACGACCGCCATCTTCACTGGCGGAAGTGCGTCAAAATAGGGAATGTTTTGTTTCATTTGCCAAAACTGTCCGTACCACAATAAATGATAAAACATTCTAACACAAATCTATACAATACTCTAAGATAATAATCCAATTGCACTCACATATTCAAAGCATTTATTGATTATTTTCTAAATTAATTTTTTATTCGTTCCAAGGTACGGTAACCTAGTAAACATTGCTGTGTTAGACATGGCGGAAGAGGCTTTCACTTTTCATTGATAAAACCACAACATGGAGCTTTTCGAGGCTAGAGATCACTACATAATTCAAGAAGGAGACAACAGCCTCTGGTGCAGCCGTTTCGATGGATCTCTGGTCGCAAAAACAGGTAAAAGTACTACGCCAAATGCATTTAACCGGCTACCGTTTTGGTCCACCCTCTAACACAAACAATCATTCATTCTACTGGTCCGTCTCTGACACGGTCATTATTAATATAGCGGGAGTGGACATTCTTGTTTTACAAATGTTTAGTTTCTCATTGAAAAGGCAAAAGAAATAAAAATGGATTTTTTCAATTTTGGGTCATTGATAATCGAAATATAAAGAGATCGCAGGTGTTGGGTGAAGGGGGTGGGGGTGAAAGCTTAAAGCCATAATAATTATATATAAATGAGAAAAATTGTTATATAGTTTCAAGGGTCATTATAAATCACAATGGTGTAGAAGAATTTACTGAAATATTTTTAAGATGTATTTACAACATATATGTTAATTTTTTACCACTATAAAACAACACCATCTCTTTACTCCAGGTTCAGACATAGTCAATGCTTGGAACCCAGTATGCTTAGGACTGGTTCATGGGGTCATTGGAAAGTTCAGAATATTGCCAGGTACAGTGGAAATAATATCCTCATCATCATGGTCCCTGCTTTATAGCAATGACAATCAATCCCTTCTACATCTCTCTGTATTTAGCAGCTCTCATTATTTCTGTCATTCTAGTATGTTCCATATTCACCAAGCACAGTGGTCTAGCATTTTCCCTTTTTGTCTTCCTCTGCTTCCTTTTACTTACATCTTTTCTGATGTTACCAGTTGCTGTTCTCATAACTTGTCCTACTTCTAAGCAAGTGGCTTTTTTTAAAGCGGTCCAATGAAAGTGATGATATTTAAAATAATGGGGGATTGGCTGGTATTTGCCTCTCTTAGGACACTTTTTTTTAGTGTGACTTCATCACCTTTTGCCATGAGTATGCTACTTGACAGTGGGAAATATAGGAAAGGAATCCCTTGCAAAGTCTGCCTTCCACTTTTTTATTATTTACACAATATATTTCAAATTTATATTTTTATAATTGAAGTGCTAATGAATAAATATATATCCTGAAACCTCTCAGATCCTTATTGGCATGTCAAAATACATCACTAGTCCAAGTGTTATCTAGTATATGTGCAATTTTACAGCCTTTTTCTTAATATTGAAGGTGAAAAGCATCCTTGAGAAACAGCAGATTCTACCCCAGCTAGATATTTTGTATGCCAATATTTAGGGCAGCTCCTCTCAAAACAAACAAAAATGCAATCTTTTTAAGTACATATGTCTGTAACAAAAGACCTTTGCATCTTCTAAAATAAAAATAGGATTTGTACTTTTTATGTGGGTATATCTCTAGATATGAACATTTTCTGCCCTTGTTTTATTGGTAGCCCTACAAGATGATCACATTATGGGATCTGCTTATTCTTGTTCTATTACACGTACTTATCTTCATGATGAAGCTGAATTGTTTTATTGATCTTTTTCCTTCAGGAATAAAATACACTTCAGATCAATTTATAAAGAATATTGACTTGAGAATAAAGCCATGTTGTCATTGTAATAGTATTTAAATGGCTTATTGCAAACAAAAATGTTGTATACTTTTATTTGATATCTGTGAACTGAAAGGAATAATTCTGTAAAATCATAAATAACAAATAGAATAGCTCTATCCGAAAGAAGCAATTGACAATATAGAAAAACACTTAAAATGCTTTTTGTAATACCACAAAGCACTTTCTTAAAATGAGTTATTGCAGTGTAAAATCATCTGTAGACCATGGTTTTGTTTAATGGAAACATATTGATTTTGTTTAACTGAAGTAATCTCTTGAGTATCTGAGGCCTGAAACTAGGTATTGGTAACTGCTACTTATCCTTAGAAGTTGGGAACAGGTGAAGGGTATAAAGCCATAATACCTATTCTTAAAGAACAAATATCTCTTGTGACTTAATAAAAATCCTTTCTACCCTAACAGTGTATAGCCATAAAAGCTATGCAATAATTGTGTTATATAAATATATATCATTTTTTCCATCCAAATGCTTTTTTTAAAATCTATCTAGATTACTTTATAGGGACTGATTCCTTTTGAGTTATTTATTCAGGCATATAGGCGGTTGTCGGGTGTTGCATTTCTCAAATTGCATGAAATTAAGCCAACAAGTCACAAAGTATGAATTATTTATCCTGTCATCTCAGACAGTCTAGCAGGCTGAATATCACAACTTCATGATTATCAACTGAATAAGGTTTTTGATATAGCAATACTGTCAAATACCAATCATTAAGATATGTATGAGATTGCTTAATGGCATTATTACAGATCTATAAGCAAAATGGCTCTCAAATTATTATGTAGGAGATAAGAGATAAGGGGTCCTGCACTATAAGATAATTTTGTTAGAACATATAGATCATATGAGTTACTGTTATTATTAAGGAGATAATTTGGAGATTATTTATACTTAGTTGTTTGTTATTGAAGGGTGTCGTGTTAAGGGTATCTTCCAAATCAATAGGTTAAATGATTGATGCAGCAGCATTGCCACATGTGTGAAAGTGTTTGTGTCCATACAAGCAATCCATATATGCTTCATTCTCACCATTTTCACACCTTACTGTAATAGATACAGATAGATGTATGAAGAGTAATTTTCTTATGTTAAAAAAGGTTGGCATATATGTAGAAGTCTTTTTTAGGCATACTTTTGCACTCAGGAAGTACAATAAAAAAAACAATTGGGGTAAATGACAATATTTCCATACTTTCCTTTGGTTAATTAATCCATTTGGGCATTTGAAGGTATTTATTGGATTGTTTTTTGTTTTTTTTAAGTTATTGTTGTAAAAATCTCTTATAGCAGGTTATCACAGAGGGTAGTCAACTATGAAAGTCCACCTGGTCCGATTGCAAGCAATAAGAACAAGAATAATTGTTATAACCACTATTATATATAATCGATAAGATGTTGGTGGCTACCATTAGATTATTGATTGATTAATTAGTTAATTAATTTAGCATCCTTGTAAGTGTTTTCTCCTTGAATTCTGTTTTGCAGATTCAGACTGGAGGTTGATGCTGATCCAGGAGCGCCACCTGGTGGGACAGCTGTACCGAGTTCATGATGTCTACAGGATCACCAAGGTGTGCATTGTGCCACTCACACCTGAGGAACCAGGGGAGTTGGACCTACAGGTAGGTTGAACTTCACTCTTAGTCTAAGGGGGGATCCAGAGATATTTTCTGAAACTCTTCTAAATGACATCTTTGTTGATTCTTCTGGTGGAAAAAATTAGATGGCCATCAATATTAACTTAAAAATTTTGACCGTCTTCTGAAGACCCAGAAGACGGTTTCCATCCACTCTTACAACTTGGATAGGTACCAACAGGGCAGATGGGGTGTTCACTGTGTTGCCTTGTATTTACGCTGGATATTACATAGTAAAAAAATTCCTTTTTGCTTTGGCTTCATGATTATTCATGACCAGAGAGGCCTGGCTTTTCCTGTTAAATCTTGAAAGTTACTACATCGTATATATTTTTAACTTGTTTTTTGTTTGGGGGATTTCATTTTGTATATAGGCATATATAGTTTATATACGTATGAAAATATGAACGTATCGATAAGCTCAGTGGGAGAATACTCAAAGAAAATTCAAATTTCACGAGACCTGTTATATCATCAACTCATTCACATTTATATTTTAGTTGTGTAAGAAACACCACTTTGGGATAAAGAAGACCAGCCGCATTGCCAGCACACTTGATCAGCAACAGAAAACACTGACCAAAACATGGAACCATCTCAAGTCTGTCGCAGGCCACGCCTCAAGGAATAAAAAGGTACACTTATGTGGACTTTTTAATACCTGAGCATCCTACACAAAGGTTGAATAAAAAGGAAAATTTAATCTCAAGCATCTTAAATGAAAAAAAAAATACATTATATTATGTGAAAGTAGTTAAATGTTTTGAAGCTCTATATTATGTGAAAGTAGTTAAATGTTTTGAAGCTCTTCCTAATTTTTTTTCTTCAAAAGATAAAACAGAAAGTTTAATTTTGTGGTGAGCAAAACTGAAACAGAAGTCTAGCAATGGCATCTAGATATATTAAGATACCAGAAAGGGTTGATTGAAATATTATTACTTATTTCCTTGTGGTTTCAGAAAGAAGTGAAGGACAGAGAAAGGTTTGAGAGGAAGGTCACTGAGGTATGTAGTCATAAAGTAATGTTGATCAACTCCATTGATTTCAGTAGTACATACTAAACCCAGAGATTATGTTGTGTTGTTTTCTTGGACACCTGTCTGCTTGAGTGTTAAAAGCCCACTTTGTTACCTTGTTTGTAAAATTAGGAGTAAGTAATATTAGGTCTGATGAAATTTTATGCATGACAACACAATAATTTGCTTTTATATAGAAAACAACTTGAAAGTAGATTGTCTGGTGATATTGATAACTCTTCCAATATTATCTTTCTCTCTCTCTCTCTCTCTCTCCAAAGATTTCCTTGTCGTTTGATTGTTTACCCGAGTCTTGCAATTACACACATATGCCAGTCTTTAATCTTAACTTGCCATTTATTCAGGAGATCTTAAAGATGTTCAATGAGACGGACTCCTTCTACTACAGCAGCAGCACAGATCTGACCAGTTCCCTCCAGAGGCAGCACGGTTCTACCTACAACACTGCCGACCCACTGTGGAAGAGGGCAGACCTGAGGTTCTTCTGGAACAGGGCTATGCTGGAGGAACTGGTCAATTCTCTGGTAGGATTTGGATTTGGTTCATCTGGTCTTGAGAACATTTTCCTTAGTTGATAAGTTACTTGAAATTAAATTTTGATAGTGAAAGTTGAAGTAAATGAAGAAAATATAGGCCAAAGAAACTTTTTTAAGAGGCAAAAGAAATTTATTTCAGTTAATCTGATGTTTTATGCCTCAGATACAAGTGCTCAGATGACAAGTTATGGATTAATTGACCATGGAGCAACCCTCTTGTCAATTAAAAAAAAATATGTATATATATTTCCCTGTAGGAGCCCCTTTCTGATCACTGGATAGTTCCAGTCACCCAAGGCTACATCCAGATCTCTCAGTGCCAGATGGTGAATGAAAACGAGATGAGCACCTTTTACACCAGCCATAAGGATATGATGAGGGATGCGCCCCAGTACACCATGACAATCATCTCGCGAAGGAGCAGGCACAGGGCAGGTAAGACAGACACAGTAGATCACAGATATGTTTAGAAACACATTTGTCGCTTTACCTTAAATAATCTCCCAGTCAAATGGCTTATTCTCAACAGATGGCTTAGTGAGGTGCCTGCTCTACTGAATACTGACTACTAATGCTATAAGAAACAGGTTTATAAACTGTGTGTGTGTGTGTGTGTGTGTGTGTGTGTGTGTTGCATGACTTTAACACCTCTGTTGATTTTGGTGTATTTATGTGAGTGTGTCAGGTGTGCTCAAAGATGTGAAATGTGCTGCAAGTCAAATGTGGTTGATGAGATAGGAGAGTGTGACAAATTGTACATTTGTATTTATTATGGTTGGATTTATAGGATTAAGATAATCTTAGAACATTGAAAATAATCAGAAAATTTTTCAGTGGTTAAGGTCAACAGGTCCAGAATCCATTTTTTAAATAAATTTGGTATTTGCATGATACTACCATCAGGCATTGTTATGTAAAGTTCTATTTATATTATAACAAGATCGATAATCATGATGTTAAAATATAGAGTGTAAGAGATGAGTAAATGCCATTAACTTATACTAACATTTTAGATAAATTTCAAAAAAAGGAAAGTCAGTAAAAAAAAAGACCTAAGGATGACTTGAGGAATCCTATTCAAATTTTTTTATGCTGTTAATGTTTTTGATTCAATTCCTAACCAAAATTAATAAAAGTGCATTCTGAAAGATGATCACTACTTCTGCACTGGAACTTGTTTCACAGTATCTAGATAAGATGAATTAAATTAAGTAGAGCATAAGCAGGTGTTTATTAACACTCAGAGAATCATTATTGTATCACAGTACCACAGGGAAAAAAGGAAACTACGTCATATCCTCTCTTACCAGTCTCATCCATAAGGTGTTACCCCAGGTGCCACTCTGCAAATCTTGTTTGTTGTAGACAATTGTTTACCAAATACAATTACAAAGCAAGAGGGACCATCAGGAGTATATTTGATTTCATGTTGTGTTCCATTTTGTTATAACCTGTGCTCAATTTTAGAAGCTATTAGGCCACACTTTTTTAATTTTATGGATGACATCCTGCGCGCGCATGGATTTTCGCCCGTTCTCCAAAAAAAAAAAAAAAGCCCCCCCCCCCCAGCCCCCNTTCACACCAGACACGAGCCTAGGTTTCAAAAAAAAAACTCTGAATGTTTATCATGGGACCCAACACCTAACCAGCCAGGGGTCCAGGGGCTGAATTTCAGGAACCATCAGAACTGAATTAAAAAACGCACATTTACACGGAAGAAGAAGCTCATGTCTGAACCACTCACCTCTGGTGTCTCAGCAGGGCAGATCATTCCCCAGTGAGAGTTGTGGAGCTGGCGAGGTCTGGCCAACTTCCCGTCTCTCCCTATAGGAGAGTTCAGTCTTCTCAAGTGAGACAGGGTGGAGGCAAAGGTCAGCCTGTTCAACACCTGAAGAAAATAGGGGGATATTCAGGGTTGTAAAATATTTTGATGACAGAATAAAGCTGCAAGTAGAGAGAAATGTGTAACTGAGACTGAGCATACACATAATTTTATTAATCAACAGGCGACATTTTGTGTCTCTGACATGTAGTTAATTTGATTTTAATCTGAAAAACATATTGAAAGAAATTTTTTCAGTAGTCTATCCAACTACCATGATTTGGGGTTTAGGAAAAAAGAAGGAAGAAAAGGGGTCTGGAAAAGTAAGGTGGAAAACTGCAAAGAAAAAATTTGGACTTTCATTGGATGAAAAAAAAAACATGTCTGACCTACTCACCTGAGGAAAGATGGTGAGGAAAAATAAATTGAAATACAAACTTAATAAAATAAAATAAAAGTGAAGTCTTAGTACCTGTGACACCCCAGCCCTGGCCTGGTGGGCCTTCTTCTGGTCCCCCCAGTTCCCAGTAGCCAGGGAGTACTTGAGGCCGTCCGTGATGATCCTTGTCTTAATGGCCAGCTCCAGGTTGAAATCCTTGCCACGGTCAATGAACTTCTGGGCATACATCCTTACTTCCTTCATTAGATTGCGGAACAACCTAGAACATGTATAAGTATCAAGATTGCAGAACTACCTCAGTCTTGGAAAATTTAAAAGAAATTAAATACTCCTGCTTACAACCAAAACTTTAAGATCAACTATGAAGTAATAAAAAAAAAAAAAAAAAAAAAACTTACCCTCTGAACAAAAATGCAAGCAAGGGTCCTGCCAAATCCAATCTCTTGTTGCCATAGTGATCTCTGTCATCCACCTCTCTACGACCAATGGCAGCAAGAAGCAAACGGTGAACCATGTATCTGAAAGAAGTTGAGGATAAATAATGGCATTCCAGTCTCAGTTTTTAAAAGTCTAATTACCTCTCAAAAGGAGAGAAAATCCAGTCTAAAAAACCCTAGAAATTTAACATGTCACATCTGTCAAACCTATTAACGAGTGACAGAACCGGTTTGACCAGGGACATTCTTACCCCAGAAAATAGGCCTTTTTGGTCTCACAGAAGTCACTAACACCAACATGAGGCAGCATTTCCTTCTGCAGAATCTCCCGGGCATATTTGATTCTCTTTTCTTTAGTTACCCCAGGCCTGGCTCCTCTAGCTCCTATGAAATTGAGAGCTACATTCTGCTCCTGGATCACAAATGCCTCATCCAGGGACGGCTTGACCTGAAACCATTATACAACACTTGTAGAAATATATATAATGCAATCTTAATAGAATAAATTGCATTTTTTATTTATTTCACATATATCTGTAGCCTCAGTCCCATGATAACACAAAACAATTTATTGTTTGCCAATGTAGTGTATTTTCAATTAGTTCAGCATTCAGTGATAAATTATAATAAAACAATATCATATTAAGTTGCATAGATGATGAAGTTAAAGGAATGTAATTTAATATGCATTGCATATAAATAGGTTCAAATGTCACCAGCATGTCATTCTTACCATCTCCATCATCTCTGGGTCATCAAAGTCATAGATGATGTGTTCTAGGATGTCTCTGTCTGACACAAATCCCAGGGCTCGGAACACTATTATAATGGGGATCTCCTGCCTGATATAGGGGAGGATGGCAATGATCCTTTGGCCAATTGCACTTTTGCGGGCACCCTACACAGAATATAAAATGAAATAATTAAAGATGATAACACACACTCATTTAAAGGTAAGTGTGAAAAATGACTTAACCATTGCTTTAACTATCCACAATCCCCAGATATCTAGTTTTAAAATAATTGTTAGAAGAAAAGGCATATCCTACAATGTACTTACCTGTCCCCCTCTGGCCAGCATGTTCACCCACAATGTACTGGTAGGTCTGGAGGAATGTTCAAGACAGGAACGGATCTCTGTTTTATAGGCATACTTGGAGTCCTTCTGCTGGAACACATACACTAGAAGAGAAAACTGCTCTTAGGACTAATCCATGTTTATGAAACTATTTAGCAGTATATTAGTTAACAAAAAATCCAAAACAGGGCACTTAAGAAGCAATGATAGTTACAATCCAACATCTGCACTCACCAGTATTCGTGGCCATTTTCTCCTGGGCTATGAGCACCTTTTCTGAGCCGTTGATGATAAAATAACCCCCAGGATCCAAAGGGCACTCGTTTAACTCCGTTAGATCTCTGTCAGTGAGTCCATTCAACAGACAGTAGGTGGATCTTAACATGATGGGGATCTTGCCAATGAAAGTCTTTTGATGTTGAGTTTCTATGGGGTCCTCTCCCTCCTTCACCACAGTTTTGGTAATATCAACATACAGTGGGGCAGAGTACCTGTTAATACAAGAGAAAGGTTGTAAATATAACTATAACTTTGTGTAAGTTATAAGTGAAATTTATGAATGTTGTTGAAATCAGTTCAGTGCAGAGTTGGATGCTTTGAACATATTCAACATGCTGAATTGTTCACATCCAGTGCAACTACCAAGGATGACAAAAAGCTTGCAAAGACAATGCCTGATTCAATCTATCATCTTAAAGATATTTTTTGAAGAGTAAAAATAGTACTGACGTCAGATTTCTCAGCCTAGCCTCGTTGGGCATCATGGGGCTGGGGGCGCCATCTTTCTCCCAGTGGGTAGGCTTGGACAGGTAGATCTGTTCAAATTTCAGCAAATAGCGAGGTGGTGTCTCCACAACCCCAGAAGTATGCTGTGCCTCTGCCTGGAGGTCTATCTGTGGGGAATCCTCCACAATTCTCTGGACAGACATTTGAATGAACTCGTCAAAGGAGTCCAGTTGCTGCCTCACCAAGCCCTTCTCATCAAAGTAGGAACTGATGACGATCCAAGCAGCTTCCTGCCACAAGTCTGAAGTGATGTCGTCCCCATCATCTTCATCAAACATTTCTGAAATTGGTAAAGTGGATCACCTCACTATCTATCTGTTACCGGCTTGGTGATAATCTTTAGTTTAATGAAATAACTTTACATCCCATTCCTCCTCAAACCCTAGGCTGGGGTAGCGCTAACACTCGCCAATTTAGCCAAATGCTAAAACTTACGTAAAATTGGCTAAAGAAAAAGGGCTTGATTTGACATGTTTTAGCCAAATTATAATCATTTTGATAACAAATTGACAAAAATGTGGTGATTTGGCTAAGTGAAAAAATTGCTAGCGCTACCCCAGCTAGGGTTACTCTCACGTTCAAACTGCAGGGGCATAACCAGGCATACGCACGGATGCACTGTGCGTATAATTTTTTGAGCCAACCATGATATTATTCTCCATAAATTCAGTGTATTTTTCACGGAATATAATCGTACCTGGGAATTTTCAAAATCTGTGCGTACAATTTTAAATGGTCTGGTTACGCCCCTGAACTGGTTATAGATCTTATCATGGTTTTCACAAAATGGTGCTGGATGTTATCATGGACGCACCCATTCGTTGGTTTTATTTTTTTTAAAGTCTTAACTCTGACACTCTGTCACACTGACTGGTTTTGCGTTTTGATTGTCGATAGCCGGTAGAGCTTAGATAGGTAAACAATGGTCGATTTTGAGTACTTTCTTACCCTCATCTTGGTCATACATGGTGTTTTCTTATTGAAAAACAACCCAGATGTCGATTAGACAGAGAAAATGACTTGATGCAAACTGAGTTCAGTAGATTGCCTCCGATTTCGCAGAGCAAAGCAATTTACGTGATAAAGACCGCCATCTTCACTGACGGAAGTGCGTCAAAATAGGGAATGTTTTGTTTCATTTGCCAAAACTGTCCGTACCACAATAAACGATAAAACATTCTAACACAAATCTATCAGATAATAGTCCAATTACAATCACATATTCAAAGCATTTATTGATTATTTTCTAAATTAATTTTTTACTCGTTCCAAGGTACGGTAACCTAGTAAACATTGCTGTGTTAGACATGGCGGAAGAGGCTTTCACTTTTCATTGATAAAACCACAACATGGAGCTTTTCGAGGCTAGAGATCACTACATAATTCAAGAAGGAGACAACAGCCTCTGGTGCAGCCGTTTCGATGGATCTCTGGTCGCAAAAACAGGTAAAATTACTACGCCAAATGCATTTAACCGGCTACCGTTTTGGTCCACCCTCTAACACAAACAATCATTCATTCTACTGGTCCGTCTCTGACACGGTCATTATTAATATAGCGGGAGTGGACATTCTTGTTTTACAAATGTTTAGTTTCTCATTGAAAAGACGAAAGAAATAAAAATGTTTTTGGGGGGTCATTGATAATCGAAATATAAAGACACCGCAGGTGTGAGGTAAAGGGGGGAGGGGGTTGAAAGCTTAAGGCCATAATAATTATATATAAATGAGAAAAATTGTTATATAGTTTCAAGGGTCATTATAAATCACAATGGTGTAGAAGAATTTACTGAAATATCTTTAAGATGTATTTACAACATATATGTTAATTTTTTACCACTATTAAACAACATCATCTCTTTACTCCAGGTTCAGACATAGTTAATGCATGGAACCCAGTATGCTTAGGACTGGTTCACGGGGTCATTGGAAAGTTCAGAATATTGCCAGGTACAGTGGAAATAATGTCCTCATCATCATGTGACCTGCTTTATAGCTCTGACAATCAATCTCTTCCACACCTCTGTCTTTGGAAGCTCTCAGGATTTCTGTCACCTTCATTCTGGTATGTCCCATATTCACCAAGCACAGCGGTCTAGCATTTTCTCCTCTTTGTCTTCCTCAGCTTTTTTCTCCTTATATCTTCTCTAAAGTTACCTGTTGCTGTTCTCATTACTTGTCCTACTTCTAAGCAAATGGCTTTATTTAAGTGGTCCCATGAAAGTTATGAATAAAGTGGTTATAAGCGGATATTTGCCTCCCTAAGGACAGTTTTATTTGGTTTCTAGTCTGACAGATATTCACCTTTTGCACCAAGTAAGCTATTTGACAGTGAACAACGTAGGAAGAGAATCCCTTGCTAAGTATGACATCCACATCTAAATTTTAAAATGTATTTTGTACATAATAAAGATTTATTATGTACACAATATATTTTAAAATTTATATTTTTATATTTGAACTAGTGTTAATTAATAAATATATATCCTGACACTTCTCAGATCCTTATTAGCATGTCTAAATACATCACTAGTCCAAATGTTATCTAGTATATGTGCAGTTTGACAGCCTTTTTCTTAATATTGATGGTGAAAAGCATCCTTGAGAAACAGCAGGTTCTACCCCAGCTAGATATTTTGTATGCCAATATTTAGGGCAGCTCCTCTCAAAACAAACAAAAATGCAATCTTTTTAAGTATGTATGTCTGTAACAAGAGACCTTTGCATCTTCTAAAATAAAAATAGGATTTGTACTTTTTATGTGGGTATATCTCTAGATATGAACATTTTCTGCCCTTGTTTCATTGGTAGCCCTACAAGATGATCACATTATGTGATCTGCTCATTCTTGTTCTATTACACGCACTTATCTTCATGACGAAGCTGAATTGTTTTATTGATCTTTTTCCTTCAGGAATAAAATACACTTCAGATCAATTTATAAAGTATATTGACTTGAGAATAAAGTCATGTTGTCATTGTAATGGTATTTAAATGGCTTATTGCAAAAAAAATATGTTGTTTACTTTTATTTGATATCTGTGAACTGAAAGGAATAATTCTGTAAAATCATAAATAACAAATAGAATAGCTCTATCCGAAAGAAGCAATTGTCATTATAGAAAAACACTTAAAATGCTTTTTGAAATACCCCAAAGCACTTTCTTAAAATGAGTTATTGCAGTGTAAAATCATCTGTAGACCATAGTTTTATTTAATGGAAACATATTGATTTTGTTTAACTGAAGTAATCTCTTGAGTATCTGAGGCCTGAAACTAGGTATTGGCAACTGCTACTTATCCTTAGAAGTTGGGAACAGGTGAAGGGTATAAGCCATAATGCCTATTCTTAAAGAACAAATATCTCTTGTGACTTAATAAACTTCCTCTCTACCTTGACAGTGAATAGCCATAAAAGCTATGCAATAATTGTGTATTGTGTTATATATATATTATATATATTTTTTCCATTAAAATGCTTTTTTTAAATCTATCTAGATCACTTTATAGGGACTGATTCCATTTGAGTTATGTATTCAGGCATATAGGCTGAAATTAAGCCAACAACTCACAAAGTATGAATTATTATCCTGTCATCTCAGATAGTCTAGTAGGCTGAATATCACAACTTCATGATTATCAACTGAATAAGGTTTTTGATATAGCAATACTGTCAAATACCAATCATTAAGATATGTATGAGATTGCTTAATGGCATTACAGATCTATAAGCAAAATGGCTCTCAAATTATTATGTTGGAGATAAGAGATAAGGGGTCCTGCACTATAAGATAATTTTGTTAGAACATATAGATCATATGAGTTACTGTTATTATTAAGGAGATAATTTGGAGATTATTTATACTTAGTTGTTTGTTATTGAAGGGCGTCGTGTTAAGGGCATCTTCCAAATCAATAGGTAATTGATTGATGCAGCAGCATTGCCACATGTGTGAAAGTGTGTGTGTGTGTCCATACAAGCAATCCATATATGCTTTGTTCTCACCATTTTCACACCTTACTGTAATAGATACAGATAGATATATGAAGAGTAATTTGCTTATGTTAAAAAAGGTTGACATGTATGTAGAAGTCTTTTTTAGGCATACTTTTGCACTCAGGAAGTACAATAAAAAAAAAACAATTGGGGTAAATGACAATATTTCCATACTTTCCTTTGGTTAATTAATCCATTTGGGCATTTAAAGGTATTTATTGGATTGTTTTTTGTTTTTTTTAAAGTTATTGTTGTAATAATCTCTTACAACAGGTTATCACAGAGGGTAGCCAACTATGAAAGTCCACCTGGTCTGATTGCAAGCAATAAGAACAAGAATAATTGTTATAACCACTATTATATATATAATCGATAAGATGTTGGTGGCTACCATTAGATTATTAATTGATTAATTAATTTATTAATTAAGCATCCTTGTAAGTGTTTTTCTCCTTGAATTCTGTTTTGTCTCGCAGATTCAGACTGGAGGTTGATGCTGATCCAGGAGCGCCACCTGGTGGGACAGCTGTACCGAGTTCATGATGTCTACAGGATCACCAAGGTGTGCATTGTGCCACTCACACCTGAGGAACCAGGGGAGTTGGACCTACAGGTAGGTTGAACTTCACTCTTAGTCTAAGGGGGGATCCAGAGATATTTTCTGAAACTCTTCCAAATGACATCTTTGTTGATCTTTCGACAGAAAAAAATGAGGTGGCCATCAATGTTAACTTAAAAATTCTGACCGTCTTCTGAAGACCCAGAAGACAGTTTCCATCCACTTTTACAGCTTGGATAGGTACCAACAGGGCAGATGGGGTGGTTACTGTGTTGTCTTCTACTTACTCTGGATATTACATAGTAAAAAATGTATGAATTCCTTTTTGCTTTGGCTTCATGATTATTCATGACCAGAGAGGCCTGGCTTTTCCTGTTAAATCTTGAAAGTTACTACATCGTTTATATTTTTAACTTGTTTTTTGTTTGGGGGATTTCATTTTGTATATAGGCATACATAGTTTATATATGTATGAAAATATGAACTTATCGATAAGCTCAGGGTATACATAGATAATTTACCAGTGGGAGAATACTCAAAGAAAATTCAAATTTCACGAGAGCTGTTATATCATCAACTTGTTCACATTTATATTTTAGTTGTGTAAGAAACACCACTTTGGGATAAAGAAGACCAGCCGCATTGCCAGCACACTTGATCAGCAACAGAAAACACTGACCAAAACATGGAACCATCTCAAGTCTGTCGCAGGCCACGCCTCAAGGAATAAAAAGGTACACTTATGTGGACTTTTTAATACTTGAGCATCCTAGACAAAGGTTGAATAAAAAGGAAAATTTAATCTCAAGCATCTTAAATAAAACAAAAATGCATTATATTATGTGAAAGTAGTTTAATGTTTTGAAGCTCTTCCTAATTTTTTTTCTTCAAAAGATAAAACAGAAAGTTTAATTTTGTGGTGAGCAAAACTGAGATAGAAGTCTGGCAGTATCATCCAGATATATTAAGATACCAGAAAGGGTTGATTGAAATATTATTACTTATTTCCTTGTGGTTTCAGAAAGAAGTGAAGGACAGAGAAAGGTTTGAGAGGAAGGTAACTGAGGTACGTAGTCATAAAGTAATGTTGATCAACTTCATTGATATCAATAGTACATACTAAACCCACAGATACATTATGTTGTGTTGTTTTCTTGGACACCTGTCTGCTTGATTGTTGAAAGCTCACTTTGTTACCACGTTATGTTAAATTATGAATAAGTAATATTTTATGATTTAGCTGAATTTCTTTTGCACTGTAAGGTCTGATGAAATTTTATGCATAACAACACAAAATTGCTTAGAGAGAGAGAGAGAGGAAGATATTCTCTCTCTCTCTCTCTCTCTCTCTCTCTCTCTCTCTCTCTCTCTCTCTCTCTCTCTCTCTTCAAACATTTCCATGTTATTTGCTTGTTTACCAATACCTGAGTCTTGCAATTACTAACATATGCCAGTCTTTATTCTGAACTTTCCATTTATTTAGGAGATCTTAAAGATGTTCAATGAGACGGACTCCTTCTACTACAGCAGCAGCACAGATCTGACCAGTTCTCTCCAGAGGCAGCACGGTTCTGCCTACAACACTGCCGACCCACTGTGGAAGAGGGCAGACCTGAGGTTCTTCTGGAACAGGGCAATGCTGGAGGAACTGGTCAATTCTCTGGTAGGATTTGGATTTGGTTTATCTGGTCTTGAGAACATTTTCCTTAGTTGATAAGTTACTTGAAATTAAATTTTAATAGTGAAAGTTGAAGTAAATGAAGAAAATATAGGCCAAAGAAACTTTTTTAAGAGGCAAAAGAAATTTATTTCAGTTAATCTGATGTTTTATGCCTCAGATACAAGTGCTCAGATGACAAGTTATGGATTAATTGACCATGGAGCAACCCTCTTGTCAATTAAAAAAAATATGTATATATATTTCCCTGTAGGAGCCCCTTTCTGATCACTGGATAGTTCCAGTCACCCAAGGCTACATCCAGATCTCTCAGTGCCAGATGGTGAATGAAAACGAGATGAGCACCTTTTACACCAGCCATAAGGATATGATGAGGGATGCGCCCCAGTACACCATGACAATCATCTCACGAAGGAGCAGGCACAGGGCAGGTAAGACTGACACAGTAGATCACAGATATGTTTAGAAACACATTTGTTGCTTTACCTTAAATAATCTCCCAGTCAAATGGCTTATTCTCAACGGATGGCTTAGTGAGGTGCCTGCTCTACTGAATACTGACTACTAATGCTATAAGAAACAGGTTTATAAACTGTGTGTGTGTGTGTGTGTGTGTGTGTGTGTGTGTGTGTGTGTGTTGCATGACTTTAACACCTCTGTTGATTTTGGTGTATTTATGTGAGTGTGTCAGGTGTGCTCAAAGATGTGAAATGTGCTGCAAGTCAAATGTGGTTGATGAGATGGGAGAGTGTGACAAATTGTACATTTGTATTTATTATGGTTGGATTTATAGGATTAAGATAATCTTAGAACATTGAAAATAATCAGAAAAATTTTTCAGTGGTTAAGGTCAACAGGTCCAGAATCCATTTTTTAAATAAATTTGGTATTTGCATGATACTACCATCAGGCATTGTTATGTAAAGTTCTATTTATATTATAACAAGATCGATAATCATGATGTTAAAATATAGAGTGTAAGAGATGAGTAAATGCCATTAACTTATACTAACATTTTAGATAAATTTCAAAAAAGGAAAGTCAGTAAAAAAAAGACCTTAGGATAACTTGAGGAATCCTATTCAAATTTTTTTATGCTGTTAATGTTTTTGATTCAATTCCTAACCAAAATTAATAAAAGTGCATTCTGAAAGATGATCACTACTTCTGCACTGGAACTTGTTTCACAGTATCTAGATAAGATGAATTAAATTAAGTAGAGCATAAGCAGGTGTTTATTAACACTCAGAGAATCATTATTGTATCACAGTACCACAGGGAGAAAAGTAAACTACGTCATATCCTCTCTTACCAGTCTCATCCATAAGGTGTTACCCCAGGTGCCACTCAGCAAATCTTGTTTGATGTAGACAATTGTTTACCAAACACAATTACAAAGCAAGAGGGACCATCAGGAGTATATTTGATTTCATGTTGTGTTCCATTTTGTTATAACCTGTGCTCAATTTTAGAAGCTATTAGGGCGAAAACAAGGCCACATTTTGGTATGTTTGGTTTTGATTGATCCCTGGTCCCCAGTGCCCACTCCAACCACTGAGGTGGTGCAGTCACTGTGCTTGCATAGTTTTCTAACACTGTATGCTCTGTTGGTGACTCCGTTTGGCGTGAATGATTAGAGGATAATCACTGTGAACTAATGAGGTATGGATTGATTCGGGCCATCCATTAGCTCACAGCACTTGTGGTCATCAGTGATCAGACCAAGAAAATGAACTCTCTACTTTTGACTCCCTGTGAGCTGTTCAGAGTTTCTGTTTAACTACTTTGGTGAAAATGTTTGTATGGCATACATTAATGATAGTAGAAATTAAACTCACACTGACTAAAATATTGGGAATTTCAAATTATAAATGAATTATTGTCAAACATTTTGATAATAATGCTCCTTATTTCCACTTTTACTGTGAAAATTTGGCTAAGGAAATTTTTTTCAGGTTTTAAATTACTTAGAATGCAGTTAAAACATTGCTTTTCTTAGCTCAAAGCTGTCTTCTGCAACATTTTTCTAATACCTGGTACTTATCCCTCATTTGAACTCATCTCCAAATGAGAGCCACTTTATCTTATTGATCATCCCATTCCTCTGATCTTTTTGTGACAACCCTCTAAATATATCTGCCTTTCTACCTCAAGAAGATGTGATGCTCCTCTTAACATTTATCTGTATTTCTTTTGCTGCTGGAGTTATGTCTAAATGAAAATCAAACTATGTCTTTATGTAAACAAGCAAGAAATGTTGCCCTTTCAAGGAAATGACCATTTCCATCAACCTTGGTCTTAACCTAGTTAGTGTCCTGAGTGTAGTGAAGGAGAACAGTGATAACAAAATATAACCTTTTGTAACATATGGGGGAGATTTCAAGTTCCAAGTGCAATATGCAAGGGCACTTGTTTGAAAAGATCAAGGAGGAATTACTTGAAAAAATTAGAGAAAATATGGATTTCTGCCTCGCATTAAAATGAAAAATTAAAATGAATAAGTAAATTATCTAGAAAATAGAAACTGAAAACAAGTTTTGTATGAAAGTGGCTGACAAGTGGTTATAAATTTAAGCAAAGATTAAATATTGTCATATTTTGAATGTAAATTCAGTGAAAGTAGAAAATAGATTTTACTGATATATTATAGAGAGAACACTAGCTTTGTAAAAGTAAAAACTTTGGTAATAATGCATGGAATGTTTTTTTTCCACATTTTATATTATTTTGTCTCTTTAGGTACGCGTTTCAAGAGGCGAGGTGTGGACGAGAGTGGGGCTGTGGCAAATTATGTGGAGACGGAGCAGGTACATTTGTAGTGTGTGACCCTGAACTTGTAGAAGTCCTCTTGACTTATAATATGTGTAGGATATCTGGTAGTTAAATGTATGTAATGTGGTAAGGTAAATAGATATTAAATCTTGAAACTTTCAGTGGTATTACATCATGTTCTTTATTGTTACCCCATACATATAAATGGTTGTAAAAACACATATTGGCCACATTCACAACAGCCGACTAACTAATGGACCAAATATGGCAACCCCCTTAAAAGCTCCCCTAGTAGACACTGAATAGACTCCCCGCAGGGATTATGCAGCGAGCATTCAAGTGGGTCAGCCATATTTGATCCAAGGACTAGTTTGTCACTGTTGTGAATGCGGCCATTATTACTTTTTTCCACAATTTAGAAAACTTTATATTCAAATAATGTGCCATGTAGAACTTAAAATGATTCAAATAGTTATGAAACCATCTCTGATGCACAGAAAGACCCCTGTGAAGAAAGAGACAGACGCCTTAGCTCCAATAGCTTAGGCAAGCCAGAATACCAACTTTATGGATAAAAGAGTATATCATTCAATAATTTATAATTACATATATATTTTTGAAAAATAATTTCCATTATATTATTTTCTGTTTTCAGATAATCGAGTACCTTCCCCATGTGGTGTCATTTGTCCAGGTGCGAGGGTCCATCCCAGTGTACTGGAGCCAATCAGGATACAGATATAGACCCCCGCCAAGGCTGGACAGAGGTAGGTCAATGCTCCCTCGATTTCTCTCCTTTCTTTTCAGTTCATTTTCCCCAACACTCATCAATTTACAACAATCTGCTGAGACTGTTAGCCCACTGTGTGCCAACCATTAATTCTAATGAATTTTAAAGTGCATGGAAAATGCACTGAACTTTTCACAAATCATTAACTGCATTTTGCAACTTACTTGGTAGGGCTTTGCTGGAAGGAAAAGTACAAAGTTGTTACTGGGAACAGTCGTGGGTTTTAACCTTGTAAAAAGCACTGTGATATTTTCCAGAGCCCTCTATAATCTGATTTTGAAATGTTTGGGAAGCAATAAGGATTTGAAGATCTAAAGTGTTGCTGGATGATCACCAGCAAAACGTGTTCTAGATAGACAATGGCTTGTAACTAGTTTTAAAATTCACTGCCTTTTGTTTATATTTATTTCCCAGAAGCACATTAAATTCCATTTAGATTCCATAGTGACAAACTTAGGGTGAAAAATTAGAAAGGTTATCACCATGTATATTTGATAAACCTATAACTTAGAATAACAGTTGATTATTACATCTAAGCATGCAAAAGGATAATCAACTCAAAAAGAAAAATGACCTTTTGATGTCTCACCTAAGGTTTTGTTTTGCCTCTCGGCTAGAATCCCTAATTGCACCCAAGTTGACCCAAGTTGTTTTTAATGGATGTTACTTATGAAAGCTTTGTGTGTAACGGTCCATTTTTATGTAATTTGGTAAGGGTAAGCTGTTTCAAAGGATTTATTTATCTTTTCAATTTAAAGGCAAGTAATTTTGTTCCAGAGAGAGAGAGAGAGAGCACAGTGGGCATGATGGAGATTGTCTATTTTTATTGCATATATTGAAAGAAAATGATTTTTTTAATCTAGATAATATGAAATGTGGTTGAAAATATTTAGATATTTTAATTTACCCACTTCAGTGTTCTTCCATTTGTTCTTATTTTCTTCTTTATTTTGTTTTTTGAAACAGGATGATAATGTTTAAGTGCTTTACTATTACTGATGTTTTTTTTTGTTCATTTAAGAATGTGCATATATCTTTATTTTTCCACAGGGGATGTTTGCAAGCTTTAATATGTAGATAAGTGGAAGAATACATTTCTTGGGTTGTTGACTTCGCACTATTGCAGTGAATTGTACATGGAAAAAGGCTTACGTTCTTATTTGATAACAAAGTGTCAATCTCGTTGAAGTGTTTCAGCAGAAGGATATATGCACTTTTACCAAGGTCATAACAAGATGACCAAAGATTAGATAGGAAGAACATAATGCGTGGAAATATCTGGGGTTATTCCAGGCTCCTCAATAATTCCAGTGTTTAATTTTTTTCAAGGCTGATAATTTTTAAATTAGTGCTAAAGAAGATATTTTCTTCAAAGTGAACTTAAATTACCTGTAAGAATTTTCCAATCAAAATTTCCAGAATAATGGGCATTATTTGATAAGTGTACTTAATCAGTTTTGTTCAAATTTATTGAGATTTTATTCAGTTTTTATTTATTGAGCATAAGTAAATGCTTATTTAATGGGATTTGGATTGATATACTTGCTATTTGAACTTTATCAAATAAGAACAAAACTTTGTAATTTGAACATATAAAACTGTGCCAACCAAAATGACCCTTTCTCTCCCTTATTTCCTCTTCTTACTTTTCCTGCACTGAAGGGGATTTTTTTTCAAATGATATTTGCTGTCATCTTGGCTTAAATAAATAGCTGATTTGTCCTGATGTGAAATTTTCCTCAGTTTTGCAGAAAATCAGCACTTAGTACATCTGTCTTAAATCTGCGTTGCAGTCCAATTGTTTCACTATCCTATGGGGCGGTGGTTACAGCTCACTGACTTCAATCACAATAATTATGCTTTCTCAATAATAATCAAACTTTAATTTTTAAAAAAATCTTATTAGCCAAAATTGATTGTTTGTATTGAAACAGGTTTGTGTTAGCAACATTTTAACTCAAGTGTCTCATCTCTTTCAATTATTTATTTTAAAGTGCAGGTTCTCTTTTGTCTTTGCTGTTTGTGTCTCTAGGGATGCAAAGTTTTCTCCATAGCTCATTAGGAAGATGAAATATAATCCCAGTGGGTGTACTGTGGATACGGTTCATGGCTGTCACCAGTCTCTGAGGTCTAGTTAATACCTATCAAGAAATTCTCAACAGACACGGTTTCCAGTTACTCACCTCTTTTGACCATTTTTGTCTTTCATTTTGCTAGTTGCTGGTTTCACTTTTAGTAATTAGTATAGATTTTTAGCATACATGGCAATGAAATGGGTTTCAGATCAGTTGTTATACAGTAATAAGCCAATTTTAACAAAATCTTTGTAATGTGTATTTAAACTGCAAAATGCTCTTTTAGGAATTCCTTCACTCATTGTTATTTCTCTTAGTAAAACGTCATTAAAAATCTTACTCTTTATGACTTAAAGAAAAATAGTTGCCACTCTCTTTTCACTTGAACCTTTCAAAAAGTCAACCTAAGTTTTCAAAAAGATCAAGCTTGACATATTTTTAAAACAGAAAAGGGACCAAATATCTTTCAACAAGATTTTCTCTGATCATTGCTGATGGTTTTGGAATCTAAGAGAAATATAAACTGATAGTTGTTCATGGCAGGAGGTTTAGTTCTGTAACTTGCCTTTACCGCTGTTTGATTACTGCATGTTATATTGACATTGAAATGCCATTAACCTTACTTTGTCACATCCCTTAAGAACCAGCGTAGTGAAGCAATGTTAAAGCAATTGATTTAGGCAGGGCTTTCCTCTAACTACCAGACAGTTTATTAAGATCGTCACAGATTTTAAGCCAGTGTTACACAGAATTTTGCGTATGGTGAATCATTGATTTGTTCTAAAGCTCTGATCAACCAAAGAAGTGTGATGCAAATGACAATTCTTTTTAATTTGAAGGTTTCAACTGATTAGCAAAACTCGCCATCTGTTAATCCTCGTCCGACAACCAAAATTAGATCAAATCTTACAGAAAAGGATGTTTAATCTAATGAAAAAGATGAAATCATTAAAGAATGTTGCACAAAAAAGGAATTTGTCTCATTGATAAGGCAAAATAATAACAATAATGAAAATAAATAAAAAATAAAGAAATAAAATTAAGAATAAAGGTTGAACTGAATAGTTTTATTCTTCCAGAATGGATAATATTTATGTAAGTATAACTGATAAATTTCTCCTCTTAGATTTCTATTCTTGGTAAACAGTAGGAATATCTCAGTGCAAAAATTAATTCATCAAATCTCCATAACTGGCAGTTTTTCTTTTTCATCTCAGATTTGCTGAGGATTTTGTCTCTGTCTGCCATCCTTTTCTGATACCGTGTGTATCTCAACTAATGCAATCTGCAGCACAATTCTGATATCCTGGTTTTAATTATATTATTCATGCCAAGAAAAGCATTCAGATAGTGCCAAGGCAGCCCAGTTATTATAAGTGAATTAATCAATTAAGCGATCACCACCAAAATCTAATCAATTCAGGTCAAGGTAGATACAGTGTAGGGCCAGAGAAGGTTACAACTACATGTATTTGTATTTTTTTTTTGAGGGGGGGGGGTTAAAAAGTTAGTTAAATTTTTTTATCTATGCTTATGATATACGTAACATTAAAAAGAATAAGTCTGCAGGCTAACTCAAAAGTTTTTATTTCAAGGCCTGCAAACAAACACAAAATTCTTATGTCCTAGAACATTAAAATGTGCAGAAATGCAAGTAGACTGACGTGTCAACTTAAGGTTATTGGCCATGTAAAGAAGAACCTTTGGGCTTCCCTTGACGTCAGATCAGTTACATAACCCATGTTTTGTTTCCGTCTTTCTGCCTACACTGGTGTCACAAAACCACCCACTGGATATCATCGGCTTGTAAACACTGTTTGCACATCATTTTCAATTCAGATTATGGCATAATTTTCTTTCCAATACTTGTGATTGCGACCACCAAATTCTCATTAAGGAAGCGAATGCCTGGCTATCTTATCTTCCCATTTGTGAACCATGAATAAGAAAATGAGGCATAGCACTTGGTTTCGGCTCCAGTGAGTTCAATAATGCTGATTTGAAAATAGGAGACGGAACAAATGGTGCGAAGTTGCTTCATACTGTGACAGTGGATGGCAAATAGGTGACTGACACTGCCAAAATGGAATACAGCATTGATACTGATATATATATATTTGTTCAGAGGCATGTATTTCGGTTATTGCTATTTAGATATGTTTATTTATTAACCCCTTAGCAGAATATCAGGCCTGCCACTAACCCTTCTCTCTAATTTGTTGCAAATTTGCAAGAAGACATTTTATGTTCTTGCAAATTTGCTGCAAATTTGCTGCAAATTAGCAGCAATACAAATTTTTCTTGCAAATTCCTTACCGCAAACTTTCATTGAGCAGCAAATTTGCTGCAAACTTTTCATTTTGCTTAGGGAAATGACTAACAACATTGAGATATATGACGGAGAAACGCATGTAACACTTGAATGCACATACCTAAAAAGGCCATACTCTTTTGATTGGACCTTCCCCAAATGTCACATAAAATATCAAAGTTGGATTTCAAATACGATGAATTTCAAAGCGAAATGCTTTTTTTCTGAGCACTTGACAAAGGTCCACTGTTATGAGCATCACGGTTATTGATGCCTCTTTATATAGGTAATGGCTTGAAGGCTGAGTTTAGTAACTAATAAAGTTATCTCTTCAGCCCTCTTTCTGTGATTCCTGGATGAAGCATATTGAATTAAAGCAACATTAAAAAGTTACCATTTTCACAAAGCGCACTGAATGCTCAAGGCTAGTTTTTAGGTGAAAATTGATTTTTGTTCTCATTTTTGAAGCTCGCGTCCCAGGGAGGTTAACTGCTCATCATTTTTGTAAGTTTGGAGAGATGATAGCACTGTGGGCAGCTGTAATGTGCTGGCTCAAAGGAGTTGCTAATAGGAAATTGTATAAACACTGTC